GCAGTTGGAGCCAGAAAATGGTAAATCATTATATACAAGGTTTAAGACAAAGGTGACCTGACCAAATGATAGTATCCTCAGCCAATCTGCCATTTCAAATATAAATGTAGTAGACATCTCAAATGTATTTAAAAAAAAAAAAAAAAAAAAAAACCTCAGGTAATAAAACTACTATAAATTCTACCTGCAGGAAAAAATTATTTGACAATTAAACTGAACCCAACAAAAGTTTAATGAAAAAAACTGTGATAAAGGGCTAAATAGCACCATGTTCAGGGTCAGAAGACAATAGAAAAATATCTACTACAAGTAGAAGAAAGGAAATTGTGACGTACTAAATTCATCTAATGTTCCAATCGGCAATAAGACAAAAGACAGACATTATCAAGCATGCTATAATAAAACCTTCAAGAAATGAATCAAGATAAAAGGCTAAGGTTTTGGAAGTCATAGGAAAAAATACTGGTACTAAACATTTAATCCATATTGATTTTCACTAAGAAAAATATAAAAGGAAAACTTTCAAAGTAAGAAAGTGTAACTATAACAAGGGATGTATTCGATACTATCTAGATTAGCATGTGGTTTTAAAAAATAAACAAATGAAGGCCGGGCGCAGTGGCTCAAGCTTGTAATCCCAGCACTTTGAGAGGCCGAGGCGGGTGGATCACAAGGTCCAAAGATTGAGACCATCCTGGTCAACATGGTGAAACCCCGTCTCTACTAAAAATACAAAATATTAGCTGGGCATGGTGGCATGTGCCTGTAATCCCAGCTACTCAGGAGGCTGAGGCAGGAGAATTGCCTGAACTCAGGAGGCGGAGGTTGTGGTGAGCTGAAATCGCGCCATTGCACTCCAGCCTGGGTAACAAGAGTGAAACTCTGTCTCAAAAAAAATCCAAAAAAACAAATGAGCCCTCATTTTTAATTGTTACTAACTGAAACTAATGCATATAGATATAAATGGCCTCCATTATTTACTCTTTCTTTTTACCTTTTCTCTCAATTTTTAAATTTACTTTTAATTTTTGTAGATAGAAAGTAGGTATATATAATTATGGGATACATGAGATATTTTGGGGCAGGTATGCAATGTGTGATAATTACATCATGAAAAATCCTTTGTGTTCAAACAATCCAATTATATTATCGAGTTATTTTTAAATGTACAACTAAATTATAATTGACTATAGTCTCTGGGTTGTTTTATCCAATACTAGGTCTCATTCATTCTTTCTATTTTTATACAGATTAACCATTCACACCACTTCACCCAAACTCCCCACTACACTTCCCAGCCTCTATTAACAATCCTTCTATTTTCCATCTCTGTGAGTTCAATTATTTTGAGTTTTAGATACCACAAATAAGTGAGAACATGCAAATTTGATCTTGCTCTGCCTGGCTTATTTCACTTAACAAAACAATCTCCAGTTCCATCCATGTTGTTGTAAGTGACAGAATCTCATTCTTTTTTATGGCCTGATAGTACTTCATTGTATGTATGTACCACATGGTCTTCGTTAATCTGTTAATGAATACTTAGGTTACATCTAAATCTTGGCTATTGTAAACAGTGCTGTAACAAATATAAGAGGGCAGGTACCTCTTGTATATACTGATTTCTTTTTTTATTTTTAAAATTTTTGTGATTATATAGTACATGTATATATTTATGTGGTACACAAGATGTTTTGATATAGACATGCAATGTGAAATAAGCACATCATGGAAAATGGAGTAACCATTGCTTCAAGCATTTATCCTTTGATTTATAAATAATCCAATAACACTCTTTTTTTAAAATGTACAATTAAAGTTATTATTGACTGTAGTATCACTGTTGTGCTATCAAATAGTAAGTCTTATTTATCATTTCTAACTATTTTTTGGACTCATTAACCATCCCACCTCCTCCCCAGCCCACCCCACTACCGTTTCCAGCCTCCAGTAATTATCCTTCTATTCTCTACCTCAATGAGTTTAATTGTTTTGATTTTTAGATATCACAAATAAGCAAGAACATGCTATAATTGTCTTTCTGTCCCTGGCTTATTTAACGTAATGTAATGATCTCCAGCTCCATCCAGTTGCTACAGATGACTGGATCTCATTCTCTTTTATGGCTGAATGATACTCCATTGTGTATATGTAGCACATTTCCTTTTTCATTCTTCTGTTGATGGACCCTAGGTTGCTTCTGAATCTTAGCTATTGTAAACACTACTGCAACAAACATGCAAGTGCAGATATCTCTTCAATATACTGATTTCCTTTCTTTTGAGTGTATACCCAGAAGTGGGATAGCTGGGTTGTATTGTAGCTGTGTTTTTAATTTTTGGAGGAACCTCCAAACTGTTCTCCATAGCGGTTGAACTAACTTACATTCCCACCAACAGTGTACAAGGGTTCTCTTTTCTCCACATCCTTGCCAACACGCTTTACTGCCTGTCTTTTGCATAAAAGTTTCATTTGTGGCTATGGTAAATGAAATTAGTTTTTCATTTCTTTCTCAGATGGTTCACTGTTGGCATACAGTAATGTTAGTGATGTTCATATGTTGATTTTGTATCCTGCAACTTTACTGAATTAGTTTATCAGTTCTAATAGTATTTTGGTGGTCTTTAGATTTTCTAAATTGAACATCATATTATCCACAAACAAGGATAATTTATTTCTTTCCAATTTTGATGCCTTTTACTTCTTTAGCTTTTTTAATTGCTCTAAGACATACAGTCCTATGTTGATCAACAGTGGTGAAAGCAGCCATCCTTGTCATGTTCCAGATTTAAGAGGACCAGCTTTTAGGTTTTCCCCATTCAGTTCAGTACTAGCTGTGCGTCTGTCATAGACAGCTTTTATTATGTTAAGACCTTCTACTCCCAGTTTTTTGAAGGTTTTTATCATGAAGGAATGTGAACTTTATCAAATGCTTTTTCAGCATCAATTGAAATGATTATACAGTTATTGTCCTTCATTCTGTTGATATGATGTATCCCATTGATTGATTTACATATGTTGGATCATCCTTGCATCCATGGCATAAATCCCACTTGATCATAATAAATAATCCTTTTTTTTTTCTGAGACAGATTCTCGCTCTGTCACCCAGGCTGGAGTGCAATGACGCAATCTCGGCTCACTGAAACCTCCGCCTCCTGGGATCAAGCGATTCTCCTGCTTCAGCATCCCAAGTAGCTGGGATTATAAGCATGTGTCACCATGCCCAGCTAATTTTTGTATTTATACTAGAGACAGGATTTCGCCATGTTGCCCAGCTGGTCTTGAAATTCTGACCTCAGATGATCCACCTGGCTTGGCCACCCAAAGTGCTGAAATTACAGGCATGAGCTGTCTTGGCCTCTAGTTCTTCAAGATAAGGTTTTATTTATTTGAAGTTTTCTGTTTTTCTGTTGTTGTTGTTGTTGTTGTTTTGATGTAGGTGCTTATTCCCACAACTCTCCTCTTATTGCTTTCACTGTATCCTATAGGTTTTGATATATGGTGTCTCCATTATCATTTGTGTCAAGAAATTTTCAATTTCCTTCTTAATTTCTGCATTGATGCACTGGTCACTCAGGAGCATATAGTTTAATTTACATGTGTTTTCCAAAATTTCTCTTATTACTGATTTATAGTTTTATATCTCTGTGGTCAGAGAAGAGTCTTGATATTACTTCCAATTTTTTGCTGTTTAATGACTTGTTTTGAACCCAACTTCATATGGTCTCTCTTTGAAAATGATCCATGCTCTCAGGAAAAGAATGTATATTCTTTAGTTATTGGATGAAATGTTCTGTAAATATCTATCAGGTCCAGTTGTTCTGCAGTGCAGATTAAGTCTGATGTTTCTTTGTTGATTTTCAGCCTTGGAGGTCTGTCCAATGCTGAAAGTGGTGTGTTGAAGTCTCCAGCTATTATTGCATCAAGGTCTCTCTCTCTCTTTAGTCCTAATAATATTTGCTTTATATATCTGGTCACTCCAGTGTTGGTATATATATATTTATCACCATGATATCCTCTTGCTGAATTGACCCCTTTATCATTATATAATGACCTTTCTCTTACAGTTTTTGTCTTGAAACGTTGTTAGATTTTGTGGAGGGTTTTTCTTTCTTTTTTTTATTACTTTTATTTAATTTTTCAAAACAAAGATGTATCATTTATAGAAAAATAGCAATGTCAATATTCTAAGGTCAATAAAGGAGGATACCACTAATAGGAAAAACAAGGGAAGAGCAAGTACGGAATATATGGGACCAAAGAAATCTAGCCTGTCTCCTAGATCTGCAGCTGGCTTCTTTCAAACTGTGTGAATGACTTTATGGTGCAAATAAAAGGATTAATTCCCCTGATGTTTTGCTACTGAGCCAGACCTTTGCACATTCAAGAATATGGTCACTGTATTGCTAGACTATGTCCACTGAAGTTGGAAATAAAATGTACAAGTATAATTTCTCAAGATATGGTCTGCCAACTAGCAGCACTGACATCACCTGGGTACTTGTTAGATATGCAGAATCTCACCTTACCTGATTTAATTTTAAAAATTTCCATTGGAACAAGATTCCCTGAAAGATCTGTATATACATTTAAGTTTGAAAAGCACTCCTTTAAAGATCTATTCTAATGGCTCCATTTTCCAATAAGGATACTGAACAGTGGCTTTCATAAAACTATAGAGATTAATCCTATAGATGATTTTCAGAAAGGAGAAAAAAGATTTTTTTCTGTGTACATGAAATCCTTCATTTTAGAATCTAGCTGTATGTTATAGCCTAAGGGGGCCATCCTTGGTGTGGCTGGGCATCCACACATTTTTAAACATATTCAGAGTGACATCAGGGGATTTCCAAGAAAACAGACACAATGGTTGATGGTTAAAGAAGGAAAGGGAAAGCTTTATCATTTGCTTGCTTATTTTTTTAGAGGAAGATATGAAGAATCAGGCTGAGGGCAGAGTTAATTAGCATTATCTGAAGTGAAAAATACAGCATTACCTGCAAGAGATCTCAGCACTTGTAATTCTTTTTCCAAACTGTCTAAGGTGTGTTGATCAGCAATGTCATCTAAGGAAAGCTCATTCTGGTCAGTAATATCAATACGTTCAATTTCTGAAATTTCAGAAGCAGCTCTAGATAAAGATTGAGCAGCTGCACTTGTGGTTCGAGGATGAGAGGATGAAAGGCAGCTGAAGCTTTCTTTAACAGAGTTGGAAAGTGGAAACTTTCCTGTTGAAGGTCTCCGTGATTTCTTACCTAAAATTGAAAGTAAAAACTTTTAAAATCAAATTTTAAAAACTTGAATGAGTACTTAAAGATACAAAATGCCAGGCCCCTGCTCACAGAGAAGTTCATGTAACAGTTTACGAAAAATTAGCTTTGACTATCACCCTTTCCAGCTAACCACATTTTATTAATCTCAAATTACTTTTCCAATGTCATAAAGAACACTTCTGCAGTTTTTTCCCCAAATTTTCCTACATTCAGAGAAAAATAAATTAACTTTAATATTCACAAATGAAAATATCTGTAAACTAAGTCAACTTCAAACAGAAATGACACACAATTTTATAATGGATTCCAAAGCAAAGCACCAAGACATGTGTCTTAAATTCCAGGACAATACCACACTATACTATGTAAGAAAAAAAAAAACTTAGAATACATGGTGCCACTTCCTAGTGAACAGTTTTACTTAATGATGTGTAATATATTCTTACATTTAAAAAAATGGCAGAAAAGAAACTAATTTACAAAATCTATATGAATTTTTAGAAAAGTGCCAGCTTTAAAAAAATTGAGATCACATCTCTGATTTTCCTAAGTATGAGCTCACTATCTTCTGGAAAAGTTCCAGAAGCACTGATCTAAGTCAGGTTATTACATTGTTCCACTAGGACACTCGCTACTTTGTTTTGATCTATTTTGAAAGTCAGTTTAGTTGGTTTCTTCAACATGTTTGTGTCTTTCAAAGTAAGAAAAAAAATTTCTTCAAATTTTACAATAACACAACATAACTAATTTATAATTTGGTATTTCTCACAAAATATTACTTAATAAGGCCAAGAGAATTTTCAAGGTACATATTTAAAAATTCTTTGGGCAGGTGAATGCTTTAATATACTGGATCATTGTTCTGATTTAGATAAATATATTTATGGTAAACATAAGATAAATTTGCACCTCCTTACCACAAACTGGCTTTGTATAAAACCATTAGGTGAGTCAATGTGCAATTGTCATTATCATGAAAATCTTGATTTGATGGAACCTATGCCATATAACATTATTCTCACTCTAATGATTCAATGAAAAATATAAAATTCAAAAAAGTAACTACAGGCAGTCATGATGTATTAAACATTTAATGACTACTGAGTTTGTCTTTTTTTAACTTAAAAAAATCTGCTTCAAATATGTCTAATACCCCAAGAAAACTCTAAATACATTATATAATTATTTAAGCAATTAAAACTGACCAAGGTAAGTCTCAAAGGGAACCAACTTGAATTAAAATTTCATAAATCATTTTTAGAAATAATTGTTCTTGAAATAAAATTATTAGTAAGTTAAAATAAGACTAATTTTTGTGTCTATTTGTGCTCAGAGAAAAATAACAGTCTAAAATATTCCTATGTATTACAAATATAAACATATCCCTGAGAATTATTTTGATGACTAGAAGTTAAACATGATTTCTTCTTTTACCTATAATATGTAAATAATCATATTTATAGCAATCAAGAACCACACTTGCCATGTCTACATAAGGAAGCAAGAGTAGAGGTAGTAACAGTAGCTGCACAAGTCAGTGACTGTAACAATAATTCACAATATAAACCAAAAGTTCTACTCTAAGTGGTAAACCACACTTTAATATCTATATTATGATATGTCTTGGTCAAGGTAAAATTTAAAGAAATTTAGAACTCTTACTTTCAAAAACAAACCAAAGGAAAATGCTATGAGTAAAGACTGGACTTCTGCCAATTCACAGAAATGAAGAAAAAGTAATGATATAATGTAGATGCCCTTCAGAAAATCTAGAATAGCACAAACACTTATAAGAACATTTGATTGCCACAGTATTTAAAGGTAATTGATCCCAATTGAGAAAAAGTACACAAAGGACAGGTCAGTCTTATGCTTAACACCCAGCAAAGAAACAGACCATCTTTCTTGCTCAAAGTGTAATTTAAAGTAACCAAAACACAGAAATAGAACAGACCCCAATTTGGTTCTTGATTATGTTTATTGTTCTTTTAATTCAATATATCATTCTTTCTAATGTTTAATGTATAAGGATATTAATGTTACTCTTCAGATTAAGATATAACATAACATTAAGACTGGCCCTAATTAAAAATGCTACAAGTGAGGGGACCATTCCACAATTTTTAAAAAATCCAAGTTTGTAGATTAAAAGCATAAGTTACTTTTGGAGTAACATGTGCCATCACTGTCAATGTAATCATAAGAAATTATTGATTAGCACTGATCGATTATATTCTAAATGTAATAAAATTAATTTTCCTTGGTGGTAACTAAAGAATATATGCCCTATGATTAGTAATAAAACTAAGCCAACTATTGGGAAGGTAAAATTCAATGGTGCCTTTAAATTATATTAATGGGTATAATAATACTGGTGAGGATATAAAAAATAGGAGTTATTCACTAAATAATATTTAATATGATGAGAATCATTATTTTTATTCTAAATATAACATTAGAATTAGATGAAATGGGTACCAAAACAGAGATAAAGACCAATGGAACAGAACAGAGGCCTCGGAGGAAACACAACATATCTACAACCATCCGATCTTTGACAAACCTGAAAAAAACAAGCAATGGGGAAAGGATTCCCCATTTAATAAATGGTGTTGGGAAAACTGGCTAGCCATGTGCAGAAAGCAGAAACTGGACCCTTTCCTGACACCTTACACTAAAATTAACTCCAGATGGATTAAAGACTTAAACATAAGACCTAACACCATAAAAACCCTAGAAGAAAATCTAGGCAAAACCATTCAGGACATAGGCGTAGGCAAGGACTTCATGACCAAAACACCAAAAGCATTGGCAACAAAAGGCAAAATAGACAAATGGGACCTAATCAAACTCCATAGCTTCTGCACGGCAAAAGAAACAGTCATTAGAGTGAATTGGCAACTAACAGAATGGGAAAAAATTTTTGCAGTCTACCCATCTGACAAGGGGCTGATATCCAGAATTTACAAAGAACTAAAACAGATCTACAAGAAAAAAACAAACAAGCCCATTCAAAAGTGGGCGAGGGATAAGAACAGACACTTTACAAAAGAAGACATACAGGAGGCCAACAAACATATGAAAAAATGCTCATCATCACTGGTCATTAGAGAAATGCAAATCAAAACCACATTGAGATACCATCTCACACCAGTTAGAATGGTGATCATTAAAAAATCTGGAGACAACAGATGCTGGAGAGGATGTGGAGAAATAGGAGCACTTTTACACTGTTGGTGGGAATGTAAATTAGTTCAACCATTGTGGAAGACAGTGTGGCGATTCCTCAATGACGTAAAAATAGAAATCCCATTTGACCCAGCAATCCCATTACTGGGTATATATCCAAAGGATTATAAATCATTCTAATATAAGGACACATGCACATGAATGTTCATTGCAGCACTGTTTACAATAGCAAAGACCTGGAACCAACCCAAATGCCCATTGATGATAGACTGGATAGGGAAAATGTGGTACACATACACCATGGAATATTACGCAGCCATCAAAAACGATGACTTCACATCCTTTGTAGGGACATGGATGAACCTGGAAACCATCATTCTCAGCAAACTGACACAAGAGCAGAAAATCAAACACCACATGTTCTCACTCATAGGTGGGTGTTGAACAATGAGAACACAATGGACATGGGGAGGGGAGCACTATACACTGGGGTCCGTTGGGGGGAAATGGGGGAGGGACGGAGAGGTGGGGAGGTGGGGAGAGATAGCATGGGGAGAAATGACAGGCAGAGGTGAGGGGGAGGAAGGCAGCAAATCACACTGCCATATGTGTATCTATGCAACAATCTTGCATGTTCTTCACATGTACCCCAAAACCTAAAATGCAATTTAAAAAATTTAAAAAAAAAAACAAATTAGATGAAATGCAACTGTAGCAACATGATTTTAGGTAGTGTTTTAATAACAGATAATATTCCTATCAAAGAACTCAGTATTTTGATCTTAAATAAAGTTTGCACAACACTCTTGTTTGTTGACATTGTTGTTGCACTGTATCAGCTGCTGAGAATTTATACATAAAAAGAATTCTTAGAAATGTATTCTAAGTATTATAAGTTCTGTATAAAATCAGAAGATTTTATAGAAAGCTGCATAGAACATTTTCCTAATTCTGTTATTATAATTCTGTACAAAAAACTTCTACAGAAATTGTATTTAGTAGCATGATTAAGTGGAAAGAATACTAAACTATGTAGCTAAGAATGTTATTGTGTTATCTCATAGAATTACAAATCAACTTATGACCTATGAAATATAAAATTCAGGAATTGGAAAGTATAATGTCTTAAATTCCTTCCAACTTTGATAACTTGTGAATTAATAATCAAATCCAATTATAAAATTATGTATTAACTCCTAAAACTGCCAGGCATTGTGTCAGGATCAGAGTATTCAAAAGTGAATAAGACATTGCCTCTATCCTCACATTGTGTTCCAAACTAATGCATAGTTCTACTGGCCTACTCTACTCATTGGAAAACACTTACTGAGCACTTACAATAGGCCAGGTCCTGTTCTATTACTGAAGATACACCAGTGCACAGGACAGGCTAGTCCTTGATTTCTTTCCAACCAAGGGTGAGAGAGAGCAGGAAAAAAGCTAATAAGATGATGTTAAATAGTGATAGCTTCTACAAGAAAGACAAAAGAAGGTAAATGTGGTAGAGGGACTCAGGAGACCAGCACTGGATAGGGTGATGTCAGAAGGCCTCTCTAAGGAGGTAACATCTGGCATGAGACTGAAAAATAAAAAAGAACCAATTATATGAAGAGTGTGAAAATGGAGAGGGAAATTTCAGAGCACCCTGGATAAGAGGTAAGATCTAATTCTCAGGCTAAGAAGTGAGTAAGAGAGTGGCCTAAGAACAGAAAGAAAGCAACTGTGGCTAAAGTGCAGGAGAAGATGCAGTTAGGAGAGATGGGTAGCCAACTGAGTTGTTGCTGTGAGATACACGGTAAGGCATACCTTTTTCTATTTTCTATAGTAATTTATGGAATGCTTTAGGCAATAGAATGGCGTGATACAACATATGGTTTACATTTATGGAAAGTATGATTCACTCCCTAGAAACTATGAATGGCAATACTGTTAGGAGTATAAGCAATTCACTCATTTATTGTAAATAGTAGAATATAATGAAAATTAATTATAGCAACATGGTTTGGGGATAGGTAAAAGTGAAAATTGGAGACAAATGAGAGATGACAGACAAATGGCTTGGGCTAATCTTGAAGAGTGAAGGTAAAAGTAGTTAGAGTTGGGCTCTATCTTAGAGCTGAAATCAGCAGAATCTAAAGATAATTAGGATGCACTGAGTGAGAGGCAAGATGACTCCCAAATTTCAGACTTAATCAATGTTTGGATAGAGTTGCCATATACAGAAAGAGGAGGATGGTGTGGGAGGATTAAATTATGGCAGGGATGGAAAGAATGAATGAACTTGCTGCTAAACACATACAGCTACAATGTTTTTACATTCACGACTTTTAAAATTTTATGGAAACAGAAATTCCTTTATATACTGGCATCAGTGCAGAATACAAGATTTCTGTAACTTGTGACAGAGCCAGAAAATTTTTAGTTTATTTTAGGCCACTATCCCTGTTCATAAAGCCATTTCCTAACTTCTGTGGCTGGTAAACATTGTAACTGTTTAAAGACTCAACTGAATGTTACCTAGTTTCTAATATGTTGCCAATCTACACTTTTCAATAGCAAAGTCATTATTTTATCATCCCTAGTTCTTAAAAAAACTCTGCTTATATATCTAACTATTATAGCTAATAGGACATATTATCATTAATTACCTGTTGATGTCCAAAAGTAAATTACTCATAGGCTTTTTCATAAAACTTATATGTGGCATAATTTACATATTCACATATATATATATAAATTATATACATATATATAAATTTATAGCGCTTTTCTTAAAATATGGTATTTGGACTATCTAGCATAACAGTAAGTTGTTGTTGAAAAAATAAATGCAATTTCCTAGGCATTACCTCAGCCTTAATTAATCAGAATCCCTAAGAGTGAGATCCAGAAATCTGCATTCCAAAAGATTTTCCAGGTGATTATGCCAACACTGACTTTTAAGAAACTTTGCACTGGACTCTAAGCTCTTGAGCAATAGAGATTAAAAATAAAAATTTTAAAAAAATTTTATATCTGACAGATTCTAAACATAAATGCATATGAAAAGGATCTAAGCTAGCCAGAGAGTTTAAATCATAGATTTTAGGGCAAGAGAGACTTGTGTCTTAAATATAGAGATAAAACATGCAATTAAATTTCTGCCTTGAAGATAGCCTTTAAACCACGGCAAATAGTCCACTTTCTCAAGGATTCTTCCTAAACCGTGAGCTCACTAAGATCAGGGAATATTACTTCTGTATCTCTTTTATCCTCAGAGCCAAGCAAAGTGCTAATATCCTCAAAATATATGCTGAATTACCTGAATTCATTAGTTATCTACTGCAACTTCCTGCTTTGGCATAAAGAGAAACCCACTATAGATGGTATAATGGGATAACAATAATGTCCTAATAATACTAGTGATTTTTATAATGTCATATACTGTGTATATACACTCGTTAGGAAAATATTACAATAGATATTCAATATGTCCAAAGAATTATTCTATAGAAAATCTTATAATTACTTTGTTTAGAGAATAGAGCTAATAAACTGAAATCAAGATTCCAAGGTCAATACATAAGAATTACATTTAGTGTGTGATGTTCCCCTCCCTGTGTCCATGTGTTCTCATTGTTCAACACCCACTTATGAGTGAGAACATGCAGTGTTTGGTTTTCTGTTCTTGTGTCAGTTTGCTGAGAATGATGGTTTCCAGCCTCATCCATGTCTCTGCTATGTAATAATTCTGCATGATCTGCACATGTACCCCAGAAATTAAAGTATAATAATTAAAAAAAAGATCTAATAAATTCAATAAAGTTACAGGAAACAAAATTTTAAAAAATCAAAACAAATATAAATTAAATAAAAAACAGAATTATATTTAGAACTAAGCCTTCTCAATCCCAGCAATAGGCAGCAATCTTAACCTAAGTCAAACATTTCACATATGGCTATGTCTGATCATAAAATACACCAAGTGAAAGAGTATGCAAAATCTGATATAAACATACTGCTTCCCGAGTGAGTAATAACACTGAGTATGTATTCTATAAGGATTGTTTAAAATATGCCATATCTTTAACTATATTTTGCAAATATTATTCTCAAATACATTGTTATGGAAAATATAAGACTATAATCCATGCCTTTGGAAAAATGAGCACATTTGGTTTTGTGCTTGGGTTTTAGAAGAAAAGTCAAGGTCATTTAGTTAAAATAAATGAATTTAAATTATAGAACTTCGAAAACTACATTTCAGGTGCCTACTAAACTGGTAAAAAAGCAAACTGCTAACGGTAGTGAGCTGCCAACACAGCACTGCTGCCTTTGAGTCAACGTTACCCGTCTTTGGCTGTTTTCTACTTGATGATGGATTCTGAGCATCCTGCAGAATACCCAAGACAATTGCATTATCAGCATGTTCACTTAAGCTATGGTCTGGAATCCATTCTCTGTCTTCTGAAATTGAAAAATTATAAAGTTTAAAAAGGAAGAAAATTCATTTTGTTAAGTTTTATATTTATGTCTTAATAGACAATATTTAACAGAATAAAGAATATTTATAACAATGATATAATGACATACAAAATCTTATTACAAAATAAAAATCTATAAATTAATATATTTTAATTTAAAAATTTTTTAAAGTATATAACCGTACAACATAAAGTATAATTGTTTCTAAGTGAATAAACACATCTGAATACATAGGATGACTAAGAATATAGGTAACACCAAGATCTAACTTTCAAAATGGAAACCAGTAAATCAGGAAGAAACAAAATACTGGAATATATATATCTCTAGTAAGGAGACTAAATCTGTAATCATAAATTTTCCAATAAAAAGAAGTCCTGTCCCTAATTGCATCACTGGTGAGTCCTATCACTCATCTGAAGAAATAACACCAGTTCTCAAACTTTTCCAAAAAATTAAAGAGGAGGTACATCAACTCAATCTGTGACTCTAGACCTACAATGATACTAAAGCCAAATAAAGACACTACAATTAAAGAAAACAACAGAACAATATCATCTATAATCAGTGATGTAAAAATCTTCAAAGTACTAGGAAACCACATTCTCCAGCATATTAAAAAGGATTATATATCATAATCAAATAAAATTTATTTCTGAAATGTAAGGATGATTCAGCATATGAAAATCCATCAGTGTAATACACCACATTTACAAAATGAAAGAAAAATAAAAACATGATCTTCTCAATTTATGTAGAAAAATCATTTGACAAAATCCAACACATTATTGTGATAAGAAAACCCAACAAACTAGGAATAAAAGGAAAATGGCTCTACATAATAAAAGTAATATATTAATAAACCACAGCAAACATCAAGCTCAATGGTAAAAAACAGAACAATTTCTAAAATCTAGAGCAAGGCAAGGATGTCTGTTTTTGCTACTTCTATTCTGTATAAGTAGCCAGAACAGATAAGTAAAAGAAACAAAATACATTTGAATTACAAAAGAAGTAAAATTATCTTTATTCACAGATGATATAATCTTATATGTAGGAAACACTAAAGATTCCACATAAAAAAATCTGTTAGAATAAATGACATCAGTGAAGTAGCAGGATACAAAGTCAATAGGCAAATAAAAATTGTATTTTATATACTAACAATGAACAGTCTGAAAAAGGAAATAAAGGAAACAATTCCATTCACAATATCATCAAAAAGAAACAAATACTTAGAAATCAACATAACCAAGGAGGTGAAAGACTTGTGCAATAAAAACTATAAAACATTGCTGAAAGAAACTAATGAAGACATATATAAACAGAAACATATCTCATAATCATGAACTGGAAGAGTCAATACTGCTAAAATGCCAATGTTACCCAAAGTGATCTACAGATTCAATATAATCTCTGTCAAAAGCTCAATTACATTTTTTGTAGAAATTTAAAAAAACATTCTAAAATTTGCATGCAATCACAAGGGACCCTGAATAGCCAAAACAATATTGAAAACAAGAGCAAAGCAGGAAGACTCATACTTTCTGATTTCAAAACTTATAGCAAAGATACTGTAATTAAAACTGTGTGATACTGGTAAAAAGAGAGACATACAGACCAATGAAATGGTATAAACAACCCAGAAATAAATCCTCACATATATGGTCAAATTATAATGATTTGGAAAAAAGTATATATACTTATGCTATAAAACATAATTTGAAATATGCATATATTGTAGAATGACTAAATCAAGTTAATTAACATATATCTTATTTCACCAGTCATTGTGTGTGTGTGTGTGTGTGTGTGTGTGTGTGTGTGTGTATGTGTGTATGGTGAGAACACTTAAAATCTCCTCTCATAGCCAAATAATTTTTGACAATGGTACCTAGACCATTCAATGGGTAAAAGAATGGTCTTTTCAACAAATGGTGCTGGAAAACTTGATATCCATATGCAAAATAATGAATCTGGACCTTTAATACCACGTACAAAAATAAACTCAAAATTGATCAAAGACCTAAATGTAAAACCTAAAACTACAAATACCTTAGAAGAAAGTATAGGGCCATGACTTTGGCTTTGGAAATTAATTCTAAAAATGACACTGAAGGCACAGGAAACAGCAACCACAAAAATAGACAAATTGGACTTCATAAAACTTCGAAAAAATTGGATCAGCAACAGAGTAAAAAGTCAATCTACAGAATGGGACTAAATAATTGCAAATAATATATCTTATGAAGAAGTAGTATCCAGAATATAAGAAGGAACTTCTACAGCTCAATGACAAAAAAACAAATAAACCAATTAAAATATGAGCTAAGGAATTGAATAGACATTTCTCCGAAGAGTATATACAAATGACATAATAAGCACATAAAAATGCTCAACATTATTAATAATCATGAAAATATAAGCTACAATAATATACCACCTCAGAACCATGAGGATGACTATTGTCCCTCCCTTCAAAAAAAGAAAAGAACAAGTATTGTAATAATTGGACCTTTTGTGCCCTATTGACAGTAATGTAAAGCGCCAAGTAGACACTGGCACCATACTTCTTATATAGCTTGCAGAACTCTAAGTCAAATAAACCTCTTTTATTTATAAATTATCTAGCCTTGGTTATTCCTTTATAGCAACACTAAAAGGTCTAAAACAACCACACTTCTAAATTCTAAAAATAATCTTTCCTAGTTTCATTGTAAGTCATATTTTCTCAAATTCTGACAGCAATCTTAAATGTAAATATATGGCAACTCATACAAGGTTAATAATTTTTGAATGGCAAGAAGAAAATTATTTTATTCATTGAACAGAATTGCCCAGTATTTCCTAAGATGAAGACAGACTGTTTTAGAAAAATGAGTTAGAAATTTACCTGTAAGTGTAATCCTAGTACTGGAATAGTCACATTCTAAAGGATGAGAAGGAAGTAACTTGAGTCTTTCATTTGCATCAAAAATAAAGAATCTCTCAAGTCCTTGATACTGTGTTGTTATAGGTTTACTTCTACAGGCTATTTCTTGTAACAACTAAGAAAAAAATATTCAACAGTATTAAGTTTATTTTCTACCTCATTAACACAAAAAAGCATATTCATTTATCAGATACCTACTATTTACTTGGCACAAATTCTTCCCATATCAACTTTAGTTTCTAACAGTGGAGACAAATAATAATATAACATTTATATATAGTAAGTTTTAACTACAATTATAGTAATTCTCTGAAAGTTGATATTAATCCAAGGAGGACAGAAGTTCATGAAATAATTTTTTTTCTCTTTCTTCCTTTATTTTCATTCCTCAGTCTTGTTGTACATAAATTATCCTGGAATACAGACTTACTTTCACATGCTGTGACTTTTAGTGTCTTTGTCTATATATAAAATAATTTCAAAGTTGAAAGTAAAATACCAACGGGAAATATCTGACCTAACAATGGTCATAGAAAAAGAACTTAGTTAACAAAATATTCATCATGAGGCAAATATACAAATAGGAAACCAAGGTGAGAGGAAGATAACTAATTTATAAAGTTTATATAGCTGAAACTAGCAGACCTAGGCTTTGAATATAGGTCCACCTGATTTGAAACCTAGACTTATCCTGCCACCTTATTAATTCTATTAATTCATTTTTATATGTTCTTATTCTAGGATTGACTACAACTGGGATTTTAAAAAATGTGAATCCAGCAGAAACAGATTAGGAATTCATAAGTAAGAGCTCTAGATGAGGTTATAGTATAATCAGAGCAGCTATCAGTTTTTAACAATTCCCTAATAAATTTAATTAATGTCCAAATCTGGTCTGTTCCAAGAAATCAATGTAAAGCAAATTGCTTTAATTTTATATAAATTTATAAATCATATAAATGAGAGCATATTAAAGAACAAAGCTAGTGACCAATAAAGCATGTCATTCAAAGACAAATCTATGTCCAAAATTTCCAGCACATATTCCCTCCCAGACACTGATAAACAATAGCAGAATTATTTCCACTCTAGTGAAGCTTATATTTGAATTATGCAATTGCAAATCTGGAAGAGTTTGGAATGTCTTGGTTTACAGATAAAAATCCTAAAACAGTTTTGTTTTGTCTACTTTTAGTACAAATTCACGAAGTTAACTATTGATAGTTTTAGAGCCAGAACAAAGGACCCCTGATTAGCTTCTTGTTTTCCTAACTACTGCCCTACACATTAGTACTTAATTCCATAGGAAGTTCCACCTTATACAGAAATCAATTTCTGAAAACTGAAGTACAAAATGAACAATTTTATACTCTATTTGGATGGAGCACAGTAGATTCCTAAGTAGTTCTTCTGATATAATGACTTCTACTAGGACAGAAAAAGAGTATAGGTTCAGGTATAGTTCTTAGGAATGAAAAGAAAGTAGATTCAACCACTGTATTCAAAAGCAGGAACTCAGTCTACAAGCTGTGAAGTACCAATTCTAATGGCCACTGTACAAAGCTCTATTTTATAGCTGCCTCCACCTGCTTTCACCTTGTGTTTTGCAGCTCTTCAAATTCTCTTGTGACCCAGCAACTTAATTCTTTACAGAGATTAGCCATCTCCTGTAATAAGATGCTGGGAGAGAATCTTTGACGCTCAGCTTACGTCCTGTCTTACCAGTGGTGGACAATTTCTGTTAAACTATTTACACTTTTTTATTCCTCAGATATAATAACCTAGGAATGGATTAAAACAGTCTTTCTTTATAAAAGGGGCAATCTTTGAGTTAGAAACCCATTAGTTTGTTGAGAATTCTTTTAAAATCCTGTGACACTCTTCCTGAAAAAATTTCAAATCTCTCCATCCAGTATCTCCCATGAGGAAACAGCAGGCTTTACATATCACTATTTTATTGCTGTCCAGGACTACACTTAATCTCACCTAATTGAAAAAAAAAAAAAAAAAACAATAACCATGTAAGCCATTTTCCAACAGTCACTGGCCTTTGATTATGTTAGCAGGTTGGAGCTGCTGAGAACATTATGGATCTTAGGCACTTAAATACTCAATCAGATTGTTTCCTGAACAAGCTCTATCAGGACATATTTTATACTGAGCTATATTTTATACTAAGCAAATTGATAGTCTTAAATTGAATAAACAAGAATGTATCCCAGCCACATACACATTCCTTTTTTTTTTTTTTTTTTAAGTTCAGAGGTACATGTACAAGTCTGTTACATAGGTAAATTTGTGTCATGTAGATTTGTCGCACAGATTATTTCATCACCCAGGTATTAAGCCTAGAACCCACTATTTTTCTAATCTCCTCTCTCTTCCCACTCACCACCTTCTGATGAGCCCCAGCGTATGCTGTTCTCCTCTCTATGTTCATGTCACGAACCTTCCTTTTAATAAAAATCTAAATTTAGTGACACTTGTTACATTAATTGAGTAGAATAGTATGCATTATCACATAAAAGAAGGAACCCTGCTATAAATTATTGGTGCAATTTAAGTCACAGCTATCTTGACAAACTCTTATCAGTTCATAGTAGACCAGGAAGTTGGATGGGGTACAAATCATCAGACTATCTACCTAAATGAAAAGTTCCCTGAGAAAATGGATTGGATGAATCCATTGTATAAATCTTCAGGCAAGGCCTGAGGGCAATACATGTTTCCTTATCCTCTCCAACTCAATTGAAGAGAATGGCAGGAAGGAGTTTTCCCAGTGAATTCCTTTGAGTTTATTATGGCTTTATTATTTTGGGGTCAGATTCATAGTTCATTAATTTTTACTTTTTTCTTGCATTTGGGATTATAAATTTCCCAGTAAGTAGTATTTGAGTTTCATCCTATACATCATTTATCTGTGATGGTTTTGCTTACATTCAATTCTAAATATTTTTACCTTCTATTCTGAGTTTTTCTTTAACCTAGACATATTTGAGTTGGATTTAATTTTGTTAGCATTTTGCTATCAATTTTAAAATTATTATATTATGGTTGGAAAACAGTGTATAATATGATTTCTTTAGCACTTTTTGAAAACTCCTTTGTGGACTTACTTTTGTAATGTTGTAACATATATTTTGTAAAAGTTCCATGTGTTCTTGCAAAAAACACACATTCTCTAATTATTGACTATGTGATTCAAAATATGTTCTTTAAGCTTATTTGTATTGATCAAATCTTCTCTATCTTTACTAATAGAAACCCTTATGGGTTGATGGATCTGTCAATAATACCATGTAGTTTTGTCCATTTTTGCTACAGTATATCTGAGGCTATATTGATAGGTACATACAAATTCAGATTTTGTTTTAATCATCCTATTAAATAGTTGATTTCACTGGCAATATAATGGCCCCCTTTGTCCTGGAGATGTTTTATTACCTTAAAGTTTTATTTTTTTTAATTAGTGCTTGCTTTATGCTGAAATTCCTCCCCCTACCTTATGCTTTAAGTAGGTTTCTGGTAAAATAACTACACCTACACACACACACACACACACACACACACACACACACACACACTGTCCACATTTATTCTAATTACTTATATGATTGGATTTACTCCTGTCAGCTTTACTCTTTCTACTTGCTGACAAGAACTGTGAAGCATCTGAGATTTTACCCTACTTGCAAGCCTGTTATAGTGTCATGGATGCTGGAAGAAGACACAAGACTCCTTGGTCAGAGACAAAGGACTTTATCACTGACAACAATAGCAGTTGCCAGAGTATCATCATTTGTACCAATTCCCAGAACCCAATTTTCACAGGACATCATGAAGAAGGCCACATGACATCTGCACATACACTGAGCTGTGTTACAGGAGAGAAATCCTGACCTTAGGAAATCCAATGCTGTAATACTGGGCAGTAAGCCTGCCTGACCATTGCCATAGAGGAAAACATTATTTTTATTACACCAGACAGTAAACAAACCTACTCTTTGCTCTGAAGATGTTCACAGTCTCTATTTTTCAAGGCTGTTTTCTATACAAGAACCCTTGAAAATATACTTTGGAACAAATACAGTCAGTGCTTTTGCTTAAAAGATGTGCAAGAAAACATGAGAGACCCAAGGGGAATTGTACACCCAACACTAACCATACAATTTTTCCTTTGATGCATTTATTTCCTGACCATTTCAGTTAATTGGGTTTTCGATACTCCCCTTTTCCTTCAGTGTTTTGGATGATATAGATTGTATCTGTAATATTTTAACTGTTACTCAAAGTATTTAACATGTATAATTGACTAAAACACCATACTTAGTCAATTATCCCTACAATTCCTACCTTCCTTTACAATACAGAATCTTAGTACTTTGAACTCTAATCATACATACCTAACAGTCTTACAAGTTATGGTACATGTGATTCTCATTCAAAATTCTTCTTTCATAATTCTCAGATTTGGCATTATAATAATTATTCTGTAATAAATCTAATATATTTGTCATTTTTCCCTCACATCATTATTTTTTGCATCCTACTTCTTCTGGGTTTGATTTCTTTCTTTTTGATGTATATCATTCAGATGTTCTTTCGAGAGGAAATAAGCAAATTACCTGAACTTTTGTCTAACTTGACATTATTTTATTCTTGGTATTGAATGACAGTTTTGCAAGCCTTAGAACTCTAGACTTAGTCAGTTCTATTGGAACTTTAAAGCTAATGTTCCACTGTGTTACACTGTTGAGGCTAGCTGTTGATGTTCATGAGAATTTTACTGTCAATCTAGTAACTGTTCTTAGATGATTTTCTATTGTCTTTTATTTCTTTTAAGATTATAACATTTTAAGATTATCTAAAAAGTAAGTCATGTGGATGTGTTTTTATTTATATTGCTTAGGAATTGTACTTTGTTACTTCACAATCTGGCATATTACCAACTCTTCATATATCTTTGCTGCAATACAAGCAATTTTTAAAACTTTTCTTCTAGGGTAATAATTCTCTCCTTATTTGTATTTAACATTCTATTTAGTATACATTTAATTATAATTTCAATACATAATTTTGAATGTTAGAACTTTTTATTGGCCTTCATAAATGGAGCAGTTCATACTATCTTATTATTAAGTTCTTATGATTTCTTCCTTTCTATTTTTAAACATTTTAAATATAATCTCATAGGATAGAGATTGAGTCTCCCTCTAGAGCAAAGAGCAAATTTGTTTAATGTCCAGTGTAATAAAGATAATCTTCTTCTAGGACAAAAGTCTGGCAGGCTTACCACCCAGTGTAAAACATCAGGTTTCTTAAGATCAGGATTCCTCACTTATTACACAGCTCACTGCATATATATATGTCACATACTACTCTCCATGTTGCCCTGTGGAAATCTGGAAATTGAAGTTCTTGTTTTCTCTGCTGAAGTTCATGCTATAATCAATTGTTTTCTTCACTGGGGGAATAAGAAGATAAGCCCATCTAAAGTAGAGCTGTATTTTGTGGAATCTGTTGAGGGATGTTGTAAGGATGTCCTTTTATAAAGTATTAGGATTCACTTCCTTCAGCTACATCAGGGTATTAATAGGCATGGATTAACAATAATGATATTGTCTTGGCTTGAAGTTTCCAAGCAAGAAATATATATGCAAATAGATATTTTGGTAGGTATATCCAAATCTATGCTAAATGAAAGCCCAAGATACCTATTTTTCAGGTGACATGTTTTATTGGCCTAGTCCAGATCACTTGCAGAGATCAGTTTCCTTTCTTGGTTTTGGCACCCACAGGTATTTTCCTAGTGCATTCCTTAAGTGACTGATCAGACATTTAAAGGTCTCAGTTTTTGCAGAGGTGTCAGTTTCCATTTCTTATCTCACAAAGGCACAACATCTGTCATAAAGTAGGCACATAAAGCCAGTCCTCCCAGCAGAAGTATTAGCAGCTCAAGTATTCATCCTTTTGCTTTTTTGCATCCCTCTTCAGTTCAGGAACCATGGGAATTCATTTTAAATGACTTTTGAGGGTTGTTAAAAATGTTTGCCTCACTTAATTTTCAAAGAATGGATTATTAATAATTATAATAAGATTTCTAGTATATGGAATGGAATTCAAATATAGTTTTAAAATTGATAACGATGATGATGAGCGACTTAACGTTTCCTGTGAGAAGAAACAAAAACTATACCTCTATTTCTTTATTAGCCATCATCCTGAAAGAATTAACTTCTTCATCTTATATTATACCATAGTAACTGATTCTGTCTAGATATCTGCATTTATTTTATTTTGACCATTGACTATACTATCGTAAAAAGCTAGAAAGGATTTATTATACAGTATTATTTGTAATGAATTTCATTTGGAAGAGTAACAGTGCTCTTACTATGGTGCATAAGGCGGGCCTTAAAGTATTATGTATCACAGAAAGCCATTTATTTAAATGGCATTTCCCATATTAGAATTTGTCCTAGAAGTCATTAGTGTTCTTTCCCATATGAGTCACTCTTCAACTACCTCATAATAATATAAAGTAGCACATTTTAACTTTAATAGGAAGTAACTTGAGAATGTATTGTGTCACTAAGACATTTTCTTATGAGGTTTCTTATAAAATTTTAACATAATAAACATAATAGAGATTTACCAGTGATGACTTTGTAGTTTTAGAATCTTCAAAGCTTGGCCTCTTATGCAGATTGCTGAATTCCAAGGATTCTTCGATGTCTTGAGATAATTTCTCCTCAATGGGAAGTTTTTCTAAACCTATACTTGGCAAAGTATCCTTGCTCTCATGTGACATGCAGGATTCATCAGACTTTTGATTACTTTCTAAATCTATACTTTTCTCTTTTAAACTTCTTTCGAAGAAGGTGCTTTCCTCAAGTTTCTCGACGTCGGAATACACATCAGGATTCACAATGTTGTCAAAATCTGTGTTTGAGGTTTCTGCTGTTAAAAGCACACATTTACAAAAGGTACATAAATAAACTTAAACAAATAATTAAGCTGTTAATAAACCAAAAGTTCTGTGGTAGAAAACTTTATCAGCAAACACTCAAATTCCTTTATGGATGTTTCATTGTTAAAATACTTTTACTATGCTTACCTTCATAAATGGTAATCATAATTTATTTACACAGCAAAACATTAAGAAGCTAGACTAGTAAAAGAAGGTAGTATTTTATTTTGCAATGAAATCTTAAAATTGATGCAAATTTTTGTTTCAGTCTGTGGTTCAATTCTCACTTTTCCACCTCCTCGTCTCACTCAAATTTTATGAGAAGTAACACAGAGGGAACGTTTCTTCGTTGTGACATTTTCCCCTAGCATGCCTAGCAATCAAGAGAGGGCACAGGGAAATGTTCCAGATGAAAGAAAAGCAGCAGTTGAGGGCACAGAAAATGTGTAGCAGGGACACTTGCCTCTAGAAATCTACAAAATGAACAAGATTGTATTAGTCACCCACCTCATTATGTCTGCTTTAAATAAATCATTTGGTTTACTTCATTGGTTTTTAACCTGGCTGCACAGTAGAATCATTTGAAGGAACTCTGTAAAATTGTCCATGTATGGGCCTGACCCCAAATCAATTAAATCAGACCGTGAGAGTGAGACTCAGGCACTGGTCTTTTAAACTTCGCCTTGCTAAGTTCTCCAGGTGATTATAGTGTGTAGGTTGTAAGCAAAACACTGGTCTAGACTTTCTGAAAAATAAAAATTCTTTGAATGTTTACACCATACTGCTTTCATTTTAAATAAATGTACCCCATTATCCACATTGAATATAGCTTACTCTGGTTATCCTTTATTCTGTTCCAAAAACAAATTTCTCTATAAGTAGACTATGTAAAACAGTAGAAACTTTGAATAAAACTGTCCCCAGTGATGTAAATGCTTTACAGCCTTACAAATGACTTACTTGTTGCAATCAAATGTTTATATACAGCTCAACAATTATACATAGTATTTAGAACTTTTTTCAACTACAGTTACTTCTTAGATAGCATAAATACTGGGAGAAACACCTTTAGAAGAAAACCTTTATTTGATACAATAAAGGTTATTTGATACAATAGAACTTCCACAATAATGTACTTTCCCCTTAAATCTGAATGGAAATTATTCAATTTGAGAGGAGAAAAAAATGCTATTTCCTATATTAAAGTGTCTACAACTTAAATAGGAGGTAGGACTTGACTCCAGAAGCAGGGCCTGGGCTCCAAACCAAATTGAAGAATGGTGGAAACAGGGAAGAGTCAAAAGTACCTCTCTCCATAATACATGCCCACATACGTGCAGAAAAGGTTTTCAACAAAATTCAACATGCATTCATGTTAAAACCTCTCAATAAACTAGGTATTGAAGAAACATACCTCAAAATAATAAGAAACATGTACTAGAAACCCACTACCAACATCATACTGAAAGGACAAAAGCATTCCCCTTGAAAACTGGCACATGACAAGGATGCCCTCTCTCACCACTCCTATTCAACATAATATTGGAAGTTCCAGCCAGGGCAATCAGGCAAGAAAAATAAATAAAGGGCATCCAAATAGCAGGAGAGGAAGTCAAATTATACTTGTTTGTAGACTACATGATCCTAAATCCAGAAAACCCCATAGTTTGAACCCAGAAGCTTCTTAAACTGATAACTTCGGCAAAGTCTCAGAATACAAATCATTGTGCAAAAATCACTAGCATTCCTGTACACCAGGTGTCCCCAAACTATGGCCCGCGGGCTGCATGCGGCCCCCTGAGGCCGTTTATCCGGCCCCCCGCCACACTTCAGGAAGGGGCACCTCTTTCATTGGTGGCCAATGAGAGGAGCACAGTATGTGGCAGCCCTCCAACGGTCTGAGGGACAGTGAACTGGCCCCCTGTGTAAAAAGTTTGGGGACGCCTGCTATACACCAACAACAGTCAAACCAAGAGCCAAAGAGCTCCAATAGCTAAGGCAATCCTAAGCAAAAAGAGCAAAACCAGAGGCATCATGCTACCCAACTTCAAACTATACTGAAGAGTTACAGTAACCAAAATAGCATGGTACTGGTACAAAAAGAGACACATAAACCAATGGAAGAGAATAGAGAACCCAGAAAATAGACCACACAACAACTATCTGATCTTCAACAAACCTGACAAAAATAAGCAGTGGGGAAAGAATTTCCTATTCAGAAAATTGATGGTAGGATAACTGGCTAGCCATATGCTGAAAATTGAAGCTGAACTCCTTCCTTACACCATATACAAAAATTAACTCAAGATAGATTAAAGACTTAAATGTAAATCTAAAAACTATGAAAACCCTGGAAGACAACCTATTTAGGACATAGGCACAGGCAAAGATTTCATGACAAAGATGCCAAAAGCAATAGCAGCAAAGCAAAAAATTGACAAATGGGGTCCAATTAAATGAAAGAGCTTCTTTACAGTGAAAGAAACTATCAACAGAGTAAACAGACCACCTACACAATGGGAAAAAATTTTTGCAAACTATGAATTCAACAAAGGTCTAATAACCAGCTGCTATAAGGAACTTAAACAAATTCACAAGAAAAAAACCTCAATAAAAAGTGGACAAAGATATGAAGACATGAGCAGACACATTTTTAAAAGGGAAATACATGTGGCCAAGAATCCTATGAGAAAAAACTCAACATCACTGATCCTTAGAGAAATGCAAATTGAAATCACAATGAGATATCATCTTACAGCAGTCAGAATGGCTATTATTAAAATGTCAAATACATAACAGATGCTGGTGAAGTTGGGGAGAAAAAGAAACATGTATATGTTGTTGATAGGAGTGTAAATTAGTTCAATCATTGTGGAAGACCGTGTGGCGATTTCTCAAAGATATAAAAACAAAAATACCATTCAACCCAGCAATCCCATTACTGGGTATATGCCCAGAGGAGTATACATCATTCTGTTATGAAGATAATATACATGTATGTGCATTGCAGTACTATTCACAATAGCAAAGACGTGGAATCAACCCAAATGCCCATTAATGACAGGCCGGATAAAGAAAATGTGGTACATATACACCATTGAATACTATGCAGAAGAACGAGGTCATGTACTTCGCATGGATACGGATGGAGCTGGAGGCCATTATCCTTAGCAAACTGACAAAAGAACAGAAAACTAAGCACTGCATGTTCTCATTTATAAGAGGGAGCAAAATGATGAGAACATGTGGGCACATAGGGAACAACACACACTGGGTCCTGTTGAAGGATGGAGGGTTGTAGGCGTGACAGGAGAAGGAACTCTTGCTAATGGATACAAGGCTTAATACCTGGGTGATGAAATATCATGTACAACAAGCCCCCATGACACAAGTTTACCTATGTAACAAACCTATACGTGTACCCTTGAACTAAAAGTTAAAAAAAACAAAGGCAGGCATACCTGTGACATGTCAGTTTACCATTGCTATGGTAACATCTGGAAGCTACCACCTGTTTCCCCAGCAACAACCTGATGACCTGAAGTTGTCACCCCTTTTCTAGAAATTTCTGAATAACTCATCTTTTAATTTGCATGTAATTAAAAGTGGCTAAAATCATGACTGTAGTAACCACCTCCGAGATGCTACTCTGGGTGCACTGCTTATGGGGTAACCCTGCTCTGAAAGGAACACAGCATTTTGTTGCTGCTGAACACTTATACTTCAATAAAACTTGCTGTCTAACACCACTGGCTTGCCTGGTGCAAGCTGTCGGTGGGTCTACCTTTCCGTAGTCTGGAGGATGGTAGCCCTCTTCTCATAGCTGCAAGAGGCAGTTCCCCAGTGGTTACTCTGGGTGGGGGTTCCAACCAAACATTTCCCCTTTGCATGGCCCTAGTAGAGGTTCTTCATGAGGGCTCTACCCCTGCAATAGACTTCTACCTGGAAATTTAGGCATTTCTTTACATCCTCTGATATCTAGATGTAGGTTTCCAAACCTCAAGTCTTATCTTCTCTGACTTACAGGTCCAAAATCATGTGAAAGCCACCAAGGCTTTGGGCTTGTACACTCTGAAGCCATGGCCCAAACTGTATGTTGGCCACTTTTAATCCTGGTTACCTGGAGCCAGTGGGACAGAGTACCATATTCACATGTGAAACAATACATGTAGACACAGACCTTACACCTCCACAAAATTCAGGTCAGTAGATCACATACCTGAATATAAAATGCAAAACTATGAATCTCTTGAAAGATAACATAGGATAAAACCTAGATGACATTGGGTATGACAATAACTTTCTAGATACAACATTAACGAAAAAATTGATGTGCTAAACTTTATTAAAATAAAAACTTATACTCTGTGGAAAATAGTCTAGAGAATAAAGAGGCAATCCATACACTGAAAGAAAATATTTGGAAAACATATTTGATAAAAGAGTGTGATTCAAAATATACAAAAGAATATAAAACCTCAACAATAACAAAACGAATAACCCAATCAAAACATTAGCTTAAAACCTGAACAGATATTTTAATAAAGATACACAGATGGCAAATAAGCATATTAAAAGATTCTCGATATCAAATGTCAACAGATAATTGCAATTTAAAAAAAATAAAATATCACTACACAATTACTAGGATGGAAAAAATCTGAAACACAACAACAGATGATGATGAGGATATGAATCAACAGGAACTTTCATTAATTGCTGGCAGGAATATAAAATGGTATAGCCACTTTGGTAAGACAGTTTGGCAATTATTAAAAAAAACTAAACATACCTGTACCATATCATCCAATAGTCATGCTCCTTGGTATTTACCCAAATGAGCCGAAACTTAAGTCCAAATAAAAACCTACACATGAGTATTTATAGTAGTTTTGTTCATAATTGCCAAAGCTTGGAAACAACCAAAATGTCTTTCAATAGGGGAGTGGATAAACTATTATACATCCATGCAATTGAATATTATTTAGCACAAAAAAATGAGAAATCAAGCCATAAAAAGACATGGAGAAACCTCAAATGCATATTATTAAGAATCATTAAAGGCTATGTACTGTATTATTCTAACTATATGACATTCTGAAAAGGCAAAACTAAAAGAACAGTAAAAAAAAAACAAAAAAATCAGTGGTTGCCACAGGTTGGTCAGAGGGAGGGATAAACAGGTGGAGCACAGAGAATTTTTAGGGCAGAGAAGGTATTCTGTATGATACTGCAAGTGGTGAATACATGTCACATTTTACATTTGTCAAAACTAACAGCATGCGCAACACCAGGAGTGAACTCTAACACAAACTATGGACATTAAGTTACACTGATGTATTCAAGTAAATTCATCTATTGTAGCAAATGTACTAGTCTGGTGCCAGAAGTTGATAATGAGGGAGGCTATGTATATGTATGGGGTAAAGGGTGTATAGGAACTCTCTGTACTTTCTGCTTAATTTTTTTGTGAACCTAAAACTGCTCAAAAAAGTAAACATTTCAAAAATGTGTCTTTAAAGTAACAATTACATGAGCATTTATGTGCACCATTTTCTTAGAGGCAACAGGAACACCATGCTCTAGCTTGATCAGACTATACTCATCTTCAGGACAAGACTGGAGTACTATAAAGTCCTAAATTCCCATGTGGCTATAGTTCATATTTGGCCTAATAATTTAGTGGTTTAGTATTTGAAAATGTCAAGACCAGCAGGATTACCACACATCTACCACTGCTTTCTACCTTCTGCTGCCTAATCAGAAAGTAATCATCAGTTTTACAACTATTTATTTCAAATATGCCCTCCTATATCTCTCAAAAATCTTATCTTCACATAAGATATATTTATTATTTTTTCTTAAAATTCTAGGTAGATCAAATCTAGTAGTTAAAAGGAGGCTTGAAAATTATCTAGTTGCTACATTTTTGCTAAGGAAAATGAAGTCTAAGCAAGTAAGACATGTTCAAGGTCACACAGTGATTTAAAGGCACAAATGGAAACAAAATCTGACTTCTAGGTCAGGATACTTTGCTGTGACTCTCTTTAAATGATCTCACAATCTGGAAATTGAAACCAGACATACGCACACAGCATTTTAATCTACAGATCCCTAGGGAACTACTAGTAATGGCAACACAGATATATAAACAAGGTGATATGGTTTTTTGTTTGTTTGTTTGTTTGTTTTTTGGGCTTTTTTTTGGGGGGGGGGAGGAGACAGTATTTTGGTCTTGTTGCCCAGGCTGGGTGCAGTGGCACAATCTCAGCTCACTGCAACCTCCACCTCCCAGGTTCAAGCAGTACTCCTGCCTCAGCCTCCTGAATAGCTGAGATTACAAGCAACCGGCACCACAGCAGACTATTTTTTTTTTATTTTTAGTAGAGATGAGGTTTTGTCATGTTGGGCAGGCTGGTCTCGAATCCCTGACCTCATGGGATCCGCCCGCCTCAGCCTCCCAATATACTGAGATTACAGGTGTGAGCCACAATGCCTGGCCAGTGATTTATTTAGGTTTATCCCTCGTGAAACTTTATATCGGATTTGAATATTTTTGTAAAATATTTAGTGTAAGTGAGGGCAAGAGGGTGCCAGTCAGACTTTTGTCACTAAAAGGCCTTCCATGCAGTCTTTTCAATGCTAGCTTAGTCTATAATAACATTCAGAGTACCCTATATTGGCTAATTTTTCTTACACATATAAATACTGTTGTCCATGGACTTCCATTTACTAAATTGCATATTTCCTAGAAAATTATCTTATTTTCAATCAATTTTCATCTTTATACTGAGCTTTTTTCGGTTTTAAAATGAGCAGCATAACAAAGCTTTTATCGAGGGCAATAGCTCTTGGTTTTATTAAATTAACAATACACACCATTAATAATATACAGCAACAAGAAAAATGTTACCTTTTGAATTATCTTTATAATAAGTAGAGCTGTTTCTCAGACAAAGACTTAAGAAGTCCCTCTTCCCCTTATTGAAAACATAATGTTGATGGATGTCATTTTCATATTGAAAGCCATTCTTCGGATAATCTCGAAAAGCACAACTTTCACATGTGGGGGCAAACAAAATATAATATAGGTGAAAAAATGATATAAAAAAGAAAAGTTTTTAAGTCCTAGGTCATTAAAACAAATATAGTAACACCTTAATAGAATAGCATTATTTACCTTAATTTAATATTTATTTTAACCTTACTGTGTAAGCAACTAATATAACATTATGGATTTAACAGGAATAGGTAACTGTACCAAATCCAAGTTAATTACAAAATTTCAGTTGAAAGTTTCTTTTCCAAAATATCTTGAGTTAATTTCTTATATTTTCTTCTAAAGAGGGAGTATTATCTTTCAAGCTAATTAAAATCTGATGAAATCAAGGATTTACTAGTAGATAAACATATTATTTGTTCGTCAATGAGATATGAGAGTTTAAAAGCAGTATGTGATATTTAGGTTTTACTTTTTAATAATGATTACTATCAATATGCATAGTTATAATTTAAATAACATTCTTTATTAACTGAATAATATATATAATAATACATGATATTTATATAAGCTCTACAGAATGTCATCATAAAACTTATGGATTATATTCAACCAAAAAGTCCTCTTGTGTCACTCATGATCCATAGGAGAGAGATAAAATTAATGTGGTTCTATGGGCACCTCAAACCAAAGCTGTAAAACTACTGTCAAATCATGATCAGTAACTTTCTCTGCCTTCTCTAACACCTTACACAGGGGTCAAAGCAAAGATATGTGATAAGATACATAAAAGAATCAAATTAGAGAACAGAAATGTCATTCATTTCCTTAGAGATAGAGAGGTGGATATAAACCTCTTATCTGCTGAACAGAAAGTTGTTTCCTGCTGAAACCCCACTTCCAAAAGCACATTTGCTGCTAGATAGCTGATTCTTTGTGTCTAAACATGGGCTTTTTCTGTCCAGGGGAATCACTCAGGCCCACAGCTATTGCAAAATGCTGACAGGGACCTCAGCTGATCTGAATAAAGAATTGGTAGAGGAGACACTTGACAGGAATTTCATTCCACTGTTTACAAGTCCTAAAATTTCAACGGCAAAAAGGACTTTTTTTTATATTACTAACAGATACAGTTAGATATGATTTTTTATTTGGAAATGACAAAATTCTATGACATGATTACAAAGTAAACCATTATATTTCATTCACTTACTTTATTATACATTGAAATCTACCTACAAAGTAATCTACAGGAGCTCTTTTAGTCTCTCAGCCTAATCATTTATACAATTTTTAATTTAGAGCTCATAGAAAACTGAAGAAAATCCAGAGAATCTTTGGAGAAAAGAAGAATCCTCATATAAAATATATCAAAGTTGATCAAGCATTTCAGATGATAACAATCCCTAAGTTCAGAAGAATTTATTCAATAATCCAAATATTAGATAAGAGTACAAACCTATCACTATAAACAATTTTCTAATTGCTGAATGTTGTTAAATATTAGCAATATTATATAGAAATTTAAATATGGCTTAAGTAAAATATAACATTAATGTCACGTTTTTTGACACCACAAATTTCACATTAAAAAGTTGATTGTGCGTGTGGGTGTGTCAGACAGTGACTCAATATGCAAACAAAGTTAATTAGAAAGGCTTTACCTTTGTTGACTGTCTGCATCAGCTAATTCAACTTTGTAAGGCACACTATTTTCTGGTTCTTCACATTCCTCTTCATAAGTCTTTTGAGATTAATGTTATATAATATTAGTAAGTTCACAAAAATTTATTATACATTAACCAACTTACTTGTGGATGATACTTAGAGTACAGTTTTCCTACAAATGATGTCATGAGAGCTCTAATTGTATTTTATAACACATAAGTTCTAGGAAAATTAAAATTCAACTGACATTTGTTAAAGGCATTTCATATGTCAATTACTTTCTCACTATTATAATACCCCAAACTAACAATAGTAACTTATATTTAAATATGTAACTACTAACTGCTGAGTAGATTAGTGACTAGACCTTCAGTTCTCCAACTGGCTCATCATAAACTTACTCTGTGTATCAACAATGTAGTGAATGGCATGCCCACACATATGCAGTATGTGTGTTTTTGTCCAGCATCTCAAATTTATCAAGGAGAAATAAAAGTCTTGCTAGCCAAAAAACACACACAAAAAAATAAAAATAGCAGAAGCATTCATCCTAAAGAAGAATGGTAGAAATCAGTATTTAAAAGAGGCAAGTTTTCCATTCTAGTTGTTTTCTTTAACAATCACAAAAAGAGAAATATCTAAGACAAGTGACACATTCAGCTACTAGATTACTAGAAAGTCAGAAATGCACTGAGTATATCACATCCTAAACCTTCAGTCCAGAGCTCTAGCTCTGACTGGCTCTGTTTCTAGTTCATTCTATTGATGTCTTCTATATATGTTCAAAGTTATATTCAAGTTATATACTGAACTTTTTAAGTCTTAAATATTCTTTCTACCTTTAAACAGAAAAGAATATTAAATGACATTCTAGAAACCAGATTTACACTTAAATTTTATTAAATAGATAACATGTAATGAGACTTATATTTGTTTTAAAACCTAATAACATAAAGAACTAAACTAACAAAATATCAAACTACATTACTGTAATTTAAAATAATGAAATGTCTTCTCACTTCCCAGACTACACATTCATCCAAAAAAAAAATGACAATACCAGTTCAGCTCACAGATGTGTTCTTTACATTCAGAATAATATTGCTTTATTCTTATAAGCACATTTAAACACAAACACTTGTAAATTTCCTGTTAAACTATGTTAGTTATTTAAGAAATCTTACTGAAAATAATATGCAGATGTAAGTATACATTGTGAATTTCCTGTTAAAAAGTGTGAATGTCATTATGCACTTATACACTTACGTCATCTAGTTCAACTATCTTTAGAGATGGTTCAGGTCTCTCTATGTTTAATATTTCTTCTGGCAGTAAAAGAGCGGAGTGTTGTACTTTGGTCTCCTCACCTAGAAAATAAGATTCACAAATAATATCATCAAAGAATATATCCTACTTCATAATTTCTTCTAATAAGATAGCCACCAAAAAAGAAGAGTGTTTTCATGTGTATCTACACAAAAATGCAAATACTGTCAATTTTCCCAGTTCAAGTGAAATACACATTTATTAGCATTCAATTTTTAAATGCAACTATCTAAATCAAGGCAAAGTAAATCCAGGGAAAGGGAAAGAAGTGAGTGTACATTATTTTAATCTGAAGATAAAAGACTATATAGTACAACTGAGACTAATATATTAAAGAAAACCAAAAGCAGATTCTGATTAAAGCTAAGTTTATATAACTTGAAATAATAAAATTTAAAAATATCTAATCATGAACTAACCATCACTATCTTCATTGTTTTCATTTTGAGAACACTCTACATCACCAGTGGTTTCACATGGTTGTAGGAATGTATCTGGTAGCATGTTAAAGAGTTGTTCTTGTGGAGTTCTACAAAATAAAAAAGAAGCAATTAAGAGACTGAAATATATTATCTGAAACTTTCCCAGACAAGCTCTTCATTTATTTATCAAATGAATGAGTATACAAAATTAATAGTGAAACCATAACTGTATCTTTAATTTAAAGATAAGTACAATTATATAATAGAATCTTAATGTACTAAGAAAAACTGTGTAAATCAACTTGACACCACAGAAGATTTTTAAATTGCATACCCTACTGAGTTTTAAGATAAAAATCAAAGTTTGCTACAAGTCAGTGTTCTCTCAAAAGCCACATGGAGTCCATTAAAATACCAAGCTACTTAAAAAGCTAATTTATGAATGTGAGTTTTAGTTCAGTCTTGACATTGTATTAATGAGTTTTAAGGAAACCTGAGGGCATTTGTCTAAACTTCCATCATACCAGCAGGGTGATGACATAGGCTCCTACAATAAAAATGTAAGGTGTTTGGATTAGGGTATCTATTCCTTAATTAACAATGAAGACTGATGCAGCCCATTTCATATGGAAGGCAGTGAAGCCCAGGAATTCTCAGAGGTCAAAAGTGTGTTTTTTGTATTGTAGTATGTAACCAAATTATTGGAGAGAAGGGTCACTTTTTAGCCAAGAATGTTAGTAGCTGCACTATCCTTCCAGACTATGGAAGCTCATGAAGTCCCCATGTAAAAGGCAGAGCCTTCTTAATGATATTTGTAGCTAATATGGATATGAAACATCAAATATACTAGGCTCTGTTTTAAATTTTATTAGATATTAAATAGGCACTAGTATGATCTTAATTTTAACAAAAAATGAGACTGTGACACAAAGTGGTGTACCAACTTGATGAGTCATTCAGGTGGTGAATGCAGAAGGGGAATTTGAACTCAAGCAGTCTGCCTCTCAAAACACTATGTTCTTAACCATGCATTTCCTTTGTAATGTCTCTTCTACAACTTTCAAAGGCACTGAAATGCTGATAATCTTCTGGTAGTCTATGGTTTTCTGTGTTTTCCCAATATATGTAATGTATATATAAGATCACTATATAATATTTATGTATTATTTAACTTTGTGTCCTAACAAATTGGATGAGTGTGGCATTCTATATCCATAATTTAATTTAGGGACAGATGAAAATAGAGAGTTATGGTCAAAGACAAACTAGCAGCTGGCTACAACAAAACTCTTTCCCGTTTGACATGTATCTACCAAACTAAAATCCATCATACATACACATAAACATACTGTTATTCAGACATTCTTTCTTAGGGAAGCAAAAACTTGTCTAATTTTATAAGTAAAATCCATGAACCAAAGACTTATAGAGTCTAGATAATGAATTATTGGAGCTTACAGAGTCATATAAATTGTTTTTTTCTAAACTCAACATTTTGCAAATAAGAAAACTTGGGCCACAAGAATTGAAGTGATTTTCCTATAAATAAACAACTAGTTAGTATAACTAATTCTGGATCCTGGATATTCAAACCCTGGCAACAGTGCTTTTTTTAAAAAAAGATTATGTCACAAAGAAAGGATGAAATATATTTCGATAGCATTTACCTCACCATATTTTCCACTTTTAAAATTTAGAAAATATTTATTGAGCATTGACTCATTCAATTGGTTAAATGTGTGATGAATCTATTATGTCAATCAGTGTTAGGCTGTTTGCATCCAAATGGCCAAGGAATACTTTTTTTAAAATGCTAAGTCTCACACCTATTTTTCAAGACATTAATTTTTACATCATTCTGGGGTCCAAAAGTCACTTGCCCCAGGTCCTTCTGATGATTAGCTAGACTTGCGAAGTACACACAATGAAAAGAGTAAGGGAACTGGAATCAGAATTTCAGCTAGTTGCTAATATCTGCCTCTAAAATACTCTCAATCCAAAACTTCTGCACTCTATCATTAAGCTTTCCCATATATAAAAGATCCACTCTAGGTGTTGCTACTAAGATGTAGCAACACTTTCATGTTGTTACAAAAGGTAGGATTTTTCTTCTTTTTAAGGTCCAATAATATTCCATTATACATGTATGATATTTTTATCTATTCATTCCTTGACGAATATTTAGGTTGTTTCCATATCTTAGAGAACATTATGCTAGGTAAAACAGGTTAGACACAGAAAGACAAATAGTGTATGATCTCACTGATATAAAAGTCAAACTCAAAAGTAGAGAGTAGAATGGTAGTTGCCAGAGGTTAGGAGTTGGGAGAAATTGAAAGATGCTGGGAAAAGGTTATAAAGTTCCAGTTATGCAAAATAAATAAATTCTGGTTATCTAATGTACAGTATAATAACTAAAGCTAATAGAAGATCTTAAGTGTCATACACAAAAAGGCTGTGAAATTATGGATCTATTAATTAGCTTAATTGAGGTAATTATTGTGCAATGTGTATATTTAGAAAAATATCACATTTTAAACCTTAAATATATACAATTTTTATTTGTTATTCATACCTCAATAAAGCTAGGGGGGAAAGGTCTATCAACACATCTCTATTGATTCCAGGTAAAATGTTAAAAGACTTTTACTAGTCCAAATCAGTCAAATGTATTTAAAAAGCCACAGTAACATATATTTATAAGCCTACTATGAAACACAACAATAGGCAAAAGTAAAGTCAAAATCATAATCATGGTTTTTACCATGAGAAACTTTTTTGAAGCACAGCAACAGAAATGCATCAGAAAGCTGTGAATTGCAAATAGATTGCCCTATATTGACATCTATAATCAAGACATAAAGTATTAGCTCAAAAAAAGATTACCATTAAAAATAATCATGTAAATAAGACCCTAGTGAACATAAACATAGTAGCCAAGTTTTCTTTTCTGCTAAGGAAACTGGCCAACATGCAGTGTTTAGCATAGCTCAGGACCTTGATGTACCTGTGATGAAACTGTCTTGTATGTGTTCAGACTCAAGTGATGTTGTCATTTAATAACAAAATTGTGTTTCCTTTATCATATAAGCAACTCAATATGACCCAACATTGAAAGGTAGCCACCAAAAATGATAAGTAACTTTGGAATTACATTTATATGCTAATTGCTAAATTAGAAAAAGGCAATTGACTGATACACACTCCTGTTATGCACATCCTTGTTGATTTTTAAAATTCGAATAAACTTGTGGTGTACAGTTCTGTAGATTTTTAGCAATGCATAAAGTCATGTGTCTACCACAGTACCAAAAAGAAAAAAAACTCCTGAAGAGCTATTATGGGCATCATACTTTAAAAAAATATATACAGCTTGGACATTAGTTATAAATGAATTATCTTGAACCTCTGCCATATAAGCTACCACAATGAGATAAAACTACATACTTTATTAAAATGTCAACTAAAAGAAATAAAAAACTGAAAATACCAAGTGTTGACAAGGATTTGAAACAACCAGAAATATCATACCTTGCTGGAGCAAATGCAAAATGGTACAGTCGATTTAGAAAACAGTTCGGCAGTTTCTTATAAAAATAAACACGTGTTTGCCATAGAACCCAGCTGTCACTGTCCTGGGTATTTAGCAAGGGAATTAAAAACCTATATTCAAAAAAAAAACCTGTTATAAAAATATTTTTAAAGGACCTAGTGATGATTGCCAGAAACTGGAAACCAGCCAGAACAAATATTAATTCATAGAAGGACATGGATGAATCTTAAATACATTTTGCTAAGTGAAGGACATGAAAGGACAGATACTGTATGATTTCATTTATATAACCTTCAGAAGAAGGCACATTTATAAGGTTAGGAAACAGATAAATGGTTGTTATGGATTGAGAAAAGGAAGAGGAGAAAGAGGAAGCTAAAGGGAATTTTTATGGTTGTGAAACTGATTTTTTGGGGGACTACGGGTACTCTGGTAGACACATGATTTTATGCATTGGTGAAAACCCATAGAACTGTACACCACAAGTTTATTCAAATTTTAAAAATCAACAAGGATATGGGGAGAACCCAATGAAAGTCATAGCTACCTTAAAGGAGATGAGAAAGAAATGAGCACTATGGCCAAACTGGTGTTGGAAAACATCATTTGGCCTAGATACTATAGGCTACAGATAAAAAACGTGACACATAAAGACTGTACTAAGTGGAAAATTTCTTTTGGTGATGTTATTAATAGCGATTTTGCAACTAATTGTCCCTCGTTTCTCTCAGTGATATTAGTCATTCTGAAACTACTGTATGTATACATACATATATATTTTAGGGTTAATTAATAAATTTATAGATAACGAAAGCCAAGTTTCTCACTGTAGGTAGAAGAAATTTATCAAATAAGCAAAGGGAGTATGGAAATGAACCATGTGATGCTGGTTTCGATTTAGAAGGCCTGAGTGTGAACTCATGTTAGTTTAATAGATATCCAGATGGATAGAAACAGAAATAAATTTAGATGTGTGTGTGTGCGTGTGCATGTGCGTGTGTGCATGTGCCTGTGTGTGTGTGTGTGTGTGTGTGTGTGTGTGTGTGTGTGTGTATTTCCTAGTTTCCTCTCTGAGAGGGCCTAGAACTATGGCACCTGAATAGTAATGAGCACTCCTAGAGTCCAGATCTTGGTTTCTGAGCATCATTCTCCAATAAATGGAATCATTATTTTCTGGAGAAATAATTCCTGTGCTAGGACAGGGAAAATGCATTTTGAGTTCTAGAAAAATAGAGATGTTCAAAGCAAACTAACAAAAAAAAATGATGACAAGTAAAAAGAATGGAAGAGTCAACCTGACAGAGCCCAGAATGGCCAAAGCAGAAATAATTTGAGTCACAAATAAATAACCAAAATATTAGATATCAATCCCCAAAATAAAATAAATATTCATGAGTTCACATTTAAAAAAGAAAGAAAGAAAAGTGGGTGGAGGAATACTTCTTTGAAAAATTCTAATTAATAAATTTTGAAGGAACAAAGGAAATAGAATATCAGCAATACAGCAAGAGAGTACTAACTGCTGCAGGCAGAATTCACTCACAGATTCTAAAATTAGGACTGAAAGTTTAAGGGAAAACAGAGTTGTTCCATCAACTAAATGTGTCTCCTCTAAAATATTTATTAATTATAAAGGGAAAGTAGTGACTTTTACAGTGGAAAAACTTAGCACCACCTCAACTATGTGATCAAGGTTAACATCACCTGCAATAAGATATATTGACATCATGATCCCAGAATGTCAGGCACTGAGAAGGACACATCCTCCCTGTGGTATTTTTCCTCATACTGTATAACCTCAATCTAATTATGAAAAAACATCAGACAGGCCCAAATTGAGTACATTCTATGAAACATCTGGCAAGTACTCTCCTGAAGTGTTAAGGTCATGAAAGGCAGGGAAAGACTGAAAAACCGTAATGGATAAGGAGATATGACAAAAAATACAATGTGTAATCCTGGATTGGATCTTGGATCAGGGTAAGGATAATAGTGAAAACACAGATAAAATTCAAATAAAATGTATCGCTGTCAATAATATTGTCCCTATGTCAATTTCCTGGTTTTGATATGCATTCTGTTTATGTAAGGTGTTACCATTAGGGAAAGATGAGTGAATGTTATTTAGGAATTCTTCGTATCATTTTGCAACTCATCTGTATATCTTCTTTTCAAAATAATCCAAAAGAAAAAAAAAACTAGGACATTAAAAACAGTTGAAGATGAGTGGTGGTGCAGGTATTAACCTATCAAACAGAAGTTTCCCGGGAAACATGAGGGCTGATTTCAAAAATCTGAAGAGATACCATGGGGAAGAGAAATTAGATTTTATCTGTATTAACTCAGTAAGTAGAATTAGAACCCAGTTTAGAAATGAGCTGGAAACAGATCACAGTTTAATGAATAACTGTTCTACAGATAGAATGGGCCACCTTAGGAGATGGTTTTGCGTAACAGAAGGTGAAGCAAGGGTGTGATGACCACTTCTCAGGTAGACTCTAGAGAGCTCCTCCACCACCTTGCACCTCAAAAAAGACTGGAGACCATCCTCATCAAATCATTATCACCTGGGAGCTATTAGAAATTCAGAAATACAGAATCTCAGGCCTCACTTCAGAGCTATAAAAAATGAATATGCATTTTGCCACAGTCTCTAGCTGATCGTATCTAGTTATATTTCTTTGAATAAAGTATATTTAATTACTATTAATAAAATTGTAAAAAGGTTTAACTTAAAAGTAAATTCTGAAAATTATAGTCTTAAATGTTAATGCTGATATAAAAAACTGGTGTCTTCTCAAAGTAATCTTTCATTTATCACATTATTTTGTTGTTATTCTTAAATTCTTTTCTTCATTTGCGTCTTTTCCTTATATACACATTTCCATTTCTCAAGGCAAACTCTAAATTAATGATGCATCACATACAAAAATAGAATTAAAATTCTTATTGGAACAGCAGCTTCACAAAGATTTAATATTGCTTTAAAATTATGTATGCAAATATGAAATATACAAACAAAATTGCTATAGGAAGGCATTTCATACAAGAAACATTTATAAATAACTTTCATATTTCATAATAATATTACAATTTTAGAAAATACCTCCTGTGTTTTTTAAGCCATAATTTTTCCATATAGGATAGAACGTCTTCTTTAAGTTCAATATTAAGTGGTTCTCTCCAAATTTTCAGATTAGTTTGTACTTCACATTCTTCCGATGAGTCTGTAAAAATAAACACAATGTGCATAATTAACGTAAGCAAGTTTATAAATTATGATATCTTCTCTCAAGATGTAGATCTCATCATTTTCAAGGCATATGTGCTTTAATATTTACCTATATAATCAATAGGTTAAGTATTAAATATTGGTAATTTATTAAGTGACTGGATAGACAGTTTTCTTCACCAATCTCTTGAAATGAAGGGATCTTCTGATTCAAAAGGTTTGTTAAAGCAACTCATTCTTTTAAATGAAAATTGTAAATACAAACATTCATTGTATAGTTTATAAACACATAATATAAAGGTATAATACACATAAAGTATAATAGCTACTGACAATAATATTTATGCATTCTGAGAAACAGGAAATACATAATTCAGAATGACATCTGGAGGAGATAATTGTCTTGATGAATTTATGTCTACATGGTAATTTACTTCCAGATGTTTAAGATATTTCTGAAGCACTACTAAATTAAAATCACTATTCATAAATATTTAAAACTGATGAAGATATCTGGGAAAGAAAGCAGTATAAATCCAGGATTACTAGTCTCTCTACCCTCCCACATATCACCCGTCTCCAAGCTGAACATCACAAGGGGAAAGAAATGTAGGAGAATCCAGGGAAATAGTAAAGATGGGAAAAACATTTTTTATAAACTCTAAAACTAGAGAGTATTCCAGTCTCATATTATAGACTTTAATAACTAACTTCCAGAAACAGCCACAGGCCAGCAATGGAAACAAAGCAAAAATAAAGTAAGAAATCTCACTTCTATTCTTTCCAAAGAGTAGAGCAGTGTTGAAGAAAGCAATTGGACAAAGTTTGGAAAAACACCAATCAGAAGCCCATGAACTGAAAGAGCAGAGTTAAGGACATGAGCAAATCATGAGAGAAAAGAAATACCTCCACTGTGAGTCTCCCTTTTCATTTTGAAACAAGATTTCTTGACAGGAGAGCTAAAAGGAAAAACAAGAAAAAAGAAAAAAGAACACTTTTCTAATTCTGTTTAGGTGTTAGAGAAGAGCCAAACAGAAAGTGGATGGAGGAGAAAGAAGATAAAGCAGTTGGCCTGCGATCCACTTTTCTCCCTTACCAATAACACATTCCCAAGAAACAAAAATGGGAGGTGACGTGGATTAATTTATTTGTGAGCTATGTTGATAACTAGACCTAGGGGAAAATAAATTAATAATATTTGCTGGGAGGAGACTCTTTAGCTATATGGATATTTAAAATGCTAGCCCTTGTTTAGAATTGCTTGTCGTAAACAAACCTACGGATTTATGAGGCATGGCTCGAAGGGAAGTGCCAAATAAGATATGTAACTTCTATTTTTATTTGCTCCTTTCTTTCATGGTTCACTGGCTACATTTTGAGAACGCGAATAAGAGTCTCCATCCTCAAAATCATGGGATCATAGGTATTTTCCTTAATAGATAATGGTAAAGTCCTAAGGTGAAAGTATACCTAAAGCATTTAAAGACTGGCCAGAAGTCTAGGGTGGCTGAAACTGAACAAGCCATGCCAGCAAGAGAGTAACAGGAGATGATATCTCTGAGATAACAGACTTCAGGATCACACAGAACTTTCTAGCCCATTGAAAGTACCTGCCTTTCACATAGAAGTAAATTAGACTTTGGAATACTAAAATAAAATCAAGTTAAAAATAAATAACAGTGAGAACTAGAAAACTAGAAATTTAAAGCATACTGCTATGCTGAATGGTCAAGAAACGTGTGAAAGATGTTTCATGTCATTTGTAATAAGAGGTACACAAAATCATCTCTCTCAGACAAGCAGATAAGCAAAAAATTTTAAATCTGACAATATTAATGTTGGTGGCAATGGAAATCAACCAAAATTCTTTTTTTTTTTTCCTTTGTGATAGGATCTCACATTGTTACCCAGGGCAGAGTGCAATGGCATGATCATAGCTCACTGTAAGTTCAAAATTCTGAGCTCAGGTGATTGTCCACTCTCAGCCTCCCATGCAGCTAGCTAGGATTACAGGTGCACATTATCATGTATGACTTTTCTTTAATCTTTTTTGTAGAGATGAGGTCTCACTATGTTGCCCAGGTTGGTCTTGACATTCTGGTCTTCCAGCAGACCCAGTCTCTTCCTCAATTAAGAAATTCCAGAACTGTAAACTGGCTTGGGTCTGGGGACTTCATAAAAATTGAAACCCTAATATGGTGGCCCAAGTCAGGTCTCTGCCTATTAAACAGAAATTTTCCACTACAGGTAAAACAGTAGGCTGCTACTTTTTCATTCCTGGGTACATCAATTAACATCAGAAATATCTGTGAATTGAAACATTTACTACTCTTCCTTGATCCTAACTTTGATAATTTTTCCACCATAATTCTGAAGATTGTGTGCCAACATCTGGCCTCTGTCATTTCCATTCTTTGAAATCAGGATATTTAGTTCCATTGAAGCATCCCTCTCCACAATATCTTCAGCCTACAGTGGAAGGCCACAACAAACCCATTTAAGCATTCTGGTGCATAATGCTTTGGTAATGACAGCTAAGTGGGTTATACATTATCAATTCCAAAATTCCTATTTCCCAAAGCCTTCCAACTTCTTCCTCCACAAAATGTCAGAAAAATTACAACATCTCAATCTCATTAACTGTAAGATCAAGTCCAGTTTTCAATTAACCAAACTGGCCAATTGTTAATGTCATTCCTGAAGTGTTTGAGACAAAACACTAAGATCCAAATCCTGGGCGAGCACATCTATATTAATATACACAATCTCATCTAATCTGATTTTTTAATTTCTTAATCTAACACTTTTAAATGTGTTCTTCTACTTGCTTTCCGAACTCATGTGATACAGTTGAAAGGAGGCTGCAACTTCTTCAGTGCATGCTATTTTCACTTGGTATATTAATCTGTTCTCATGCTGCTAATAAAGACATACCTGAGATTGGGTAATTTATAAAGGAAAGAGGTTTTAATTGATTCACAGTTCCATGTGGCTGGGGAGGCCTCATAATCATGGCAGAAGAGGAAGGAAGAACAAAGGGACTTATTACACGGTGGTGGGCAAGAGAGAGCTTCTGCAGGGGAACTCTCGTTTATAAAACCATCATATCTTGTGGGATGAATTTTACTTTCATAAGAACAGCACAGGAACCACCCACTCCCATGATTCAATTACCTAGGACTGGGTCCCTCCTATGGCATGTGGAAATTATCGGAGCTACAATTCAAGATAAAATTTCAGTGGGGACACAGCTGAATCATATCACCCAGTATGGACACTGGCATTGCACCTCTTCATCTAAATTATGCTAATCATTTGATTGGCTTTTTCTAACCTCCACTTAGACTGTAAGTTCCAGATGAGGTTGCTACTGCTTTTGTATATCATTTGTCCCCTCCCCACCACATAGTATGTACTCAATATTCGCTGACAAAATTATTATTGAGAGCAATGTTGTATACCTCTAATATGTAAAACATTACTTGTGCCCAAATATTGGCAAATAATAAAAACAAAAGGTAATGACAAAATAAAAAAAAGCCAACATTATTTCACAAGTGACGGTGAAACAGCCAGTTATAATGATAATGATTTATTGTCAACCAAACTGGCTAAAGTTAAGGAACTAGAAAATATGGGAAAATAGTCATGTCACACTCTACCAGTGAGAGTATAACCAATGCAGTAATCTTTAGAGGACAGTTTGCCAATATTCATTAAAATTTTTAAAAAACAAATCACCATTAAGACAACATTTCTAGGAGAGAGATCCAAGATGGCTGATCACTAGTGAAAGCACAGAGAACGAGAGGATGCTACACTTTCAGATGAATTCTTGCTGCTCAGGCACCAGGAGATTCCCAGCGGAGGAGCCCCACCAGTCGCCAGCGCGACTCTTGTGACCCGTGAGGCAGTTTTGCCGGCGCCTCAGAGCATCAGTTCTTGGTGCAGAGTCAGAAAAGCACCATCAATCTTAACGCCGCTGTTTTAGTCGGCACAGTGGGTTGCTCAGATTTCAGCGCTGAGAATCAGTAAGTTGGATGTCCACTCAGAAACCCAATTATAAAGACGGTAATTATAAAGACCACAGATGGATAAATCTACAATGAAGGGAAGAAAATAGTCAAAAAAGGCTGAGAATACCCAAGATCAGAACGCCTCTCCCTCAGCAGGGGATCACAGTTCCTCATCAGCAGTGAAACAAGGCCTGATGGAGAACGAGTGTGTTCCAGTTACAGAAGCAGGCTTCAAAATGTGGATAATAAGAAACTTCTGTGAATTAAAAGAACTTATTCTAACCCAATCCAAAGAAACTAAGAACTTTGAAAAAAGGTTTGATGAAATGTTAACAAGAATACACAATTTAGAGAGGAATATAAGTGAATTGATGGAGCTGAAAAACACAATACGAGAACTTTGTGAAGTACGCACAAGTTTTAACAGCCGAATTGCTCAAGCAGAAGAAAGGATATCAGAGGTCGAAGACAAACTCAATGAAATAAAACAAGAAGACAAGATTAGAGAAAAAAGGATAAAAAGGAACGGGCAAAGTATCCAAGAAATATGGGACTATGTGAAAAGACCTAATCTACGCTTGATAGGTGTACCTGAATGTGACAAAGAGAATGAATCCAAACTGGAAAATATGCTTCAGGATATTATTCAGGAAAATTTTCCCAACTTAGTAAGGCAGGATAATATTCAACTCCAGGTAATACAGAGAACACCACAAAGATATTCCTCAAGAAGAGCAACTCCAAGGCACTTAATCGTCAGATTCACCAGGGTTGAAATGAAGGAGAAAACACTAAGGGCAGCCAGAGAGAAAGGTCAGGTTACCCACAAAGGGAAGACTAACAGACTTACAGCAGATCTCTCAGCAGAAACCCTGTAAGACAGAAGAGGGTGGGGACCAATATTCAACATCCTTAAAGAAAAGAACTTTCAACCAAGAATTTCCCATCCTGCCAAACTAAGCTTCATAAGTGAAGGAAAAAATAAAGTTTTTGTGAACAAGCAAGCACTCAGAGAATTCATCACCACCAGGCCTGCTTTACAAGAGCTTCTGAAAGAACCACTACACATAGAAAGGAACAAACAGTATCAGCCTTTCTAAAAAAATACCAAAAAGTAAAGAGCATCAATATAATGAAGAATTTACATCAACTAATGGCAAAACAGCCAGCTAATATTAAATGGCAGTATTAAACTCACATATATCATTATTAATTCTAAATTTAAATTGATTAAATCCCCCAATCCAAAGACAGACAGGCAATTTGGATAAAAAGCTAAAACCAATCGGTATGCTGCATCCAGACCCATCTCACATTCAAGGATACACAAAGACTCAAAACAAGGGATGGAGAAAGATTTACCAACCAAACAGAGAACAAAAATAAATAAATAAAAAGCAGAAGTTACATTTTTTGCCTCTGATAAAATAGTCTCTAAAGCAACAAAGATAAAAAGAAGCAAAGAAGACATTATATAATGATAAAAGGATCAATGCAACAACAAGAAGAGCTAAGATCCTCAATATATACGTACCCAATACAGGAATACCCAGACATACAAGACTTATAAAGAAACTTAGACTCCCACACAATAATAGTGGGAGACTTCAACATTTAACGTTAGACAAATCAATGACACAGAAAATTAACAATGACATCCAGGACTTGAAATCAGATCTGGAACGAGTAAACTTAATTAACATTTATAGAACTCTCCACTTTAAATACACAAAATATACATTCTTATCAGTACCACATCATATCAACTTAGAAGTTTAAACGAAATATTTGTTGGCTCCTTGTTTGTTATTCTCTTCCCTCATTTTCTTTCATGTCTCCATTATTAAGCACAATTATAGGCATACCCATATTTACACTGCATTCTAGCCTGGGCAATAAAGCAATACCCCCATTGTCTCTCCCTCTTCCTCTTTCTCTTTCTTCCTCTTCTTTATTCTTTTTCTTATTATTCTTTTTTTCTTTCTCTCTTTAAAACAAAACCAAAAACTAAACTGTGTCAGAAATACAAAAAGACAACATTTCTATATTTAGACTTTTATTTTAAGGTAACAATGTAAATGCATAAATAGCTGAGATGCCTATCATAATATCTTTTATAATACTGGGAATTAGAAATAAAATATTCATTAATAAATGTCTGATTAAATCGTGTCATATAGAACGTAAGAGTTACAAATGATTGTGTATACCTCTATTTAGATGGCCAGTTGCCCATTACAGAATCTCAGTGTAAATACAAGTTAACTAATAGTATTTACAGTGATACCTCATTTTGTGTGTGTGTGTGTGTGTGTGTGTGTGCGTGTGTGTACATAATGATGTTTATTGAAAAACATGTACCGAAATGTTATGGAGTTTCTCCATATTATGAGATTAAGCTATTTTCATTTTCTTCTTGGTAATTTTTTGTTATAAGTAAGTCTTTTAAAATAAGCATTCATTATTTTTATCATATGGTTATTTCTATTACGGAAAACAATTTTTAAAAGAGTTGGATTTCTGATCTTGTGGCTTTTCAACTCAGTACAGTATTATTTTAAACATTATGGCTTTCAAAGTAGACAAAGAAGTATTTCTATAGAATACTTAGTACTTTTTAGGGTTGAAAAGTAGAAACAAAATGCATGAAATCGCAATTATAAAGCACATAAAATAACACAGCCAATGAGAAATGAGGTGTATATTAAGATATGAACTACTAAGAAGAGAGTATACAAATAATGTCCTGAAAATGTCAATTGATGTATAATAAATAAATGCAGAAAAATACTGGAAGAAAATTTATTTAAAAATTCAATTAGAAGATGGTGTGTGATACTTTGAGATTAGAAATTACACTGTATAATAAAAGAGTAATAATCAGGAGAGTTTCTCCACTGGAAAAGAATGTAATAAAAAGAGTAAAATTGGCAAGTAAAATAAATGATTGAAATTTATCTAACGTTTTATATGCAATGAAAAGCAAATAGAAGACACTACAAGATTCTTAATAATAAAATTAATAAATCGAATACTTTAAAAACCTATAGTTTTCCTCAAGATATACTGAAAAACTTAAAGATACTGTTCAGTCATCTAGACCATCAATGTCTATAGCAGGCGTCCCCAAACTACAGCCCGCAGGCTGCATGCGGCCCCCTGAGGCCATTTATCCAGCCCTCTGCTGCACTTCAGGAAGGGGCACCTCTTTCATTGGTGGTCAGTGAGAGGAACACAGTATGTGGCGGCCCTCCAACGGTCTAAGGGACACTGAACTGGCCCCCTGTGTAAAAAGTCTGAAGACGCCATGCAGAAGTGAAAATTATAAAAAAATAAAGAACAAAAGCAGTTCACAAAAAAACAAAACCAATGAGAACCCAAATCAATTCTCCTCCTGAAGTTCACAGTGGTCCTTAAAATAATATTTTTAGGTCAAGTATTCTAAAAAAAATTTCTTCTCCATCTCACAGACTCTCCCATTTTATGTCAATTATCATTCAAAAAAAATAATAGTTGTCCTGGCAAAAATATTCTACTAGAAGAAGAACTTAAAGAATCCAATTATCCATTCATTTGACAGTCTGAATTTACATAGAAAACAAATGCAAATGCCTCTAGTGCCCAATTGAGTGCCTTTAAATATTAAACCACTCACCAATGATCACACAGTGCAAATTCCTTTGAGGAATTACAGCAAACTGCTGTCCCAGTGTTCACAGATTTTTTTGAACATCACATTTATATTCACAGAGAATGGAGCCAAATAAACTAAAGTCAGCCTTATTTTAAAACATTCACGTTATAAAAATAACCAAACTGGCTGGGCATGAATCCCAGCACTTTGGGAGGCTGAAGCAGGTGGATCACCTGAGGTCAGGAGTTCAAGACCAGCCTGGCCAACATTGCAAAACCCTATCTCTACTAAAAATACAAAAAGTGGCTGATCGTGGTGGCACGCACCTGTAATCCTAGCTACTCAGAAGGCTGAGGCAGGATAATCACTTGAACCTGGGAGGCAAAGGTTGCAGTGAGCCAAAATCACCCTACTGCACTCCAAAAAAAATAAAAAGCCATACCTTTTTCTGAATGTAAATTCTGTTTCTTGTCATCGTGATTTCCAGTTCTCCATTGACTTAACACGTCCTGAAAAGACTGTGCAGAAGCTTCTTCATCAAATGACCCTTCACACAACAGACTGTCTCTTGGTTTTGTACATTCTGCTCTTTTTGTTGTTGTAATTTCTACCTAATTAAAAGGATATAAAGGCAAGCATCATTAAATTTTCTGTATCTACTCACAAAAATGATTTTAATAAAAAAATTTCTGTGTTTTAAAATACAGGTAGAACTAATTATTAGTCATTACAAATCAGACTTTTTAAAATTAGAATGTTTTTAAGTTGTACTTATTTATATGCTTTACTCTGTTATTTAAAGCCCTGTTGGCAATTATAAGCGGTCTCTTCAGAAATTATTAAGATGAGAGCCTACAGAACCGATGACTTTATTATTATACTGTTCACCACTGTTCTCTCTGTAAAGGCACAATTGCCTTGTATCCATTCTCCCTGTGCTCCCAATGTCCTACTCCCTGCAACCTTCTCATGTCAAAAACAGCAGTTTTTTAAATGTAAATCCGATCAGAGATTGCCCTGCTAAAAACTCTTTGTTGACTCTCTATGAAACCCCAAATTCCTACCAGGACCTACACTACTCTATACAATCTTGTATTTTCTTGTCTGTAATTTTACCTGCTTCCATTCTTCTTTCATTCACCCTGCTGCAGCTAGTCTCAAATTCTTGCAGTTCTGAGAACCCATCAAGCATATTTTCTCTTGAGAGCCTTGTACTATCTATACCAAATGCCTGGAATGAGCCTTCTCCATATTGTTACATAGCCATTCCCTCATTTCATTGACACAATGAAATGCTCAAATGTCACCTACTGAGAAAGTTCTTCACTATCAATACTAAAACTAATAGACCCACTTGCCCCTATTTAATAATCCCTTATCTGTTTTTTCTTCCCATTACTTACTCCCATGTGACTTTATTCCAAATGTTTATTTATTGCCTGTCTTTCCCCATTAATATATAATGAGATTGGGGATTTTGTCTTTTTCCTTAGTGCCAAGAGCAGTGTCTGGTACAAAGTAGGTGCTCATTAAAAGTTAGTGGAATGAATGAAAAAGTTCATCAATGCATGTGATACATCAGTGCATGTAATACATTGCATGCTCATCAGATAAATGATGATTGTGGAGAGATGAATTCAGTACAAAATATAAATCTAGTCTGAACACACAAGAAAATGAAGGTAGGATGTGGAAACTATGCAGTGAATCAGAGAGAACAGTCACATTAGGAAACTCAAGCAAAATATAATTCATACTAGTGGCTGAATTATCAAATGTAGATTACCTACACTGGTCAAATTGCTAAATATCCATGTGTATCTTTTAAGACATGAGAGTAGAAATCTCTATGTTCATCCTCGCAATTGAAAAATAAACAGGCAGTTTGTTGGAGTATAATTCAGAGTACGTTGTTAAAGATGTATATAAATTTTTTAAAATATGAGCAAAAAGTATCTGAGGATCTGTCAGACACTAGACACTATACTGACTGTTGCCCACAGAAACACAGGTTAATAAGTCCACAGCATAAATAGGCTCAAGGAGCAGGTAAAACTCAGGGGAAATGATGACCAAATTGGATTTTGAAAGATAAAGTAAGAATTACATAAGCAAAAAGTACCAAGGGCAGCATTCCAGAGAAAGGAAATGATATGTATGCTCAGACATGGAGTCAAAGAGCATTGTGGCACGCAACTATAAGCAGTTGGCATTGAAGTAGCAAAAAGTAAAGAATGAGAAAATATAAAGGGTAGAAAGACAAGCAGGGGAAGACTATAAAGGGCTCTGCCTGCTGCACAGAGGAGCTTAAACCCAATGGAAATACAAAACCATTGAAAAGTCTCATACGCCAGTGTGGCAAAGAGAGGGAAATTGGGATGTAGTGTGTTTTGCTGCAAGGAAACCAATTAAAATATTACAGATATTTGGCCACATTAACCAACAATACAAATACATAATCCTTTCATCTAGGAATTTCAGGATTTTATCATACTGATATACTTTTATCTGTGCAAAACCGTACTTCTCAAAATTATACTTTGTATTTCAGCATATACTGCCAAAAGATTGAAACAGCATAAATGCTGATCAGTGGAAGATAGATTTTAAAAAGTCTTTTCACATCCAAAAAATGTAGTATTTTACAGCCACTACGTAGAATGAGAAAGTTGTAAAATGTACTTACATGGATATAAAAACCACATTGTTAAGTGAAAAAAATCATGTTTGCAGAGGAAACATGTTTGTAGAACAAACAGATTAACATTTGTTTAAAAAAATGCATACATACAAAACCAGAAGAGTTGCCTGACTCCTAAAGGGGAAGAGAATGAAATGCACATTCCGTTTCTAAACCATTTTTTTTTTTAAGAAAAAACTAACTGCATTATCTGAAAGAGCAATAAGGATAGAATAAATGAAAAAACACTCAAGATTTTTTAGCTGATAAGCTCTATGGGACATGGTAACTATTATGGACTGAATTGCATCTCCCTCTGCAAATTCATATGTTGAAACCCTAACCCCCAGTGTGACTACATTTGGAAATAGGGCCTATAAGGAGGTAACTGAGCTTAAATTAGATCATGAAGTTGAGGCCTTAATCTAACAGGACTGATAACCTGTTAAGAAGAGGGAGAGAGAGGGGGGCAGTGCCAAGATGGCCAAGAGAAGGCAACACCAGAATGTAGCTCCCAGCAAATGAGATGCAGAGGGCTAGAGGACTTCACGATTCCAAACATTGTGCTGGGTTCATTTCGGTGGGACTGATAGGGCACTGAAAATAGCCCAAGGAAGGAGCTGCAGGGGGAGAGCCACCCAGGAGGGGCAAACCAAGATAGAACGGGGAGCGTCCCCACCTGGAACATGCAGCCAGCTCGGAGGGTCAGGGGACTTAACCCCCTCAGTGCTCTGATTTGGATCCTGTGCTAATCTCCCTTCTGCATCCCACGGTCTACAAGAGCCCTGCCAGACTGTGGGGTGCCTCGTGGGCTGTTGATGCGAATCTGAGCTGCAGCTTCTGCCAGAAGCAGCAAGTTGTCTCACGCACCTGGGCAAAAGTTTGGACTAACGCCAGCAGGACTGACTGTCCCAAAGAAAAAGGCAGAGTTGAAAGCAGGGAAACAGGCCCCACCCAACAGAACTCAAACTGAAGCCCTCCCTAGAGAGTTTGGCAGCAAATACACTAGTTTGACCCCAACCAGGCAGATTGAGCGGCAGGAAAGAGAGACACCATTGGGAAGGTGGGTCCAATCTCACCTGTAAACAAACTCCAGAGAAGGACCACCCTACCCAGCAACCTGACTGAATCTGAGAGAGCCCAGCAACGCTCTCTACAGGCCAAAAAAGATATAGCTCCAACCTCAACAGAAAGGACATATACTCAGAGACTCCTCCATAAATCACCAACTTCAAAGATCAAAGGGAGATAAATTCACAAAGATGGGGAAAAAACAGCACAAAAAGGATGAAACCATCAAAGACAAGAACACCTCTTGTCCTTCCAGGGAACACAACTCCTCACCATCAAGGGAACAAAAAATGACAGAATGAATCTGACAAATTGGCAGAAGCAGGCTTCAGAAGGTGGGTAATGACGAACTTCTCTGAGTTAAAAGACCATGTTCTAACCCAATGCAAAGAAACTAAGAACCTTGAAAAAAAAGGCTAGATGAAATGCTAACTAGAATAATCAGCTTAGAGAAGAACATAAATGATGGAGCTGAAAAACAAAGCATGAGAACTTCACAAGGCATATACAAGTTTCAACAGCAAATTGATCATGCAGAAGAAAGGATATTAGAGATAGAAGACCAAATAAATGAAATAAAACAAGACAGCAAGATTAGAGAAAAAAGAGTGAAAGAAAATGAAAAAAAGCCTCCAAGAACTATGGAAGTATGTGAAAAGACCTAATCTACGCTTGATTGGCATACCTGAATGTGACGGGGAGAACAAATCCAAGTTGGAAAACACTCTTTGAGATTTTATCCAAGAGAACTTCCCCAACCCAACAAGGCAGGCCAACATTCAAATCCAGGAAATACAGAGAATACCACAAAGATATTCCTCAAGAAGAGCAACCCCAAGGCACATACTTGTCAGATTCACCAGGGTTGAACTGAAGGAAAAAATCCTAAGGGCAGCCAGAGAGAAAGGTCGAGTCACCCACAAAGGAAAGACCATCAGACTCCCAGCAGATCTCTAGGCAGAAACCCTACAAGCTAGAAGGGAGTGGGGGCCAATAGTCAGCATCCTTAAAGAAAAGAACTTTCAACCCAGAATTTCATATCTGGCCAAACTAAGCTTCTTAAGTGTAGGAGAAATAAAATCTTTTAAGGACAAGCAATTGCTGAGAGAGTTCATCACTACAAGACTGGCCTTACAAGAGCTACTGAAGGAAGTAATAAACAAAGAAAGGAACAACCAGTACCAGCCACTGCAAAAACCTACCAAATGGTAAAGAACAACAACGCAATGAAGAAACCTTGTCAACTATCAGGCAAAACAACCAGCCAGTAACAAAATGGGAGGACCAAATTCAAACACAACAATATTAACGTTGAATGTAAATGGCCTAAATGCCCCAATCAAAAGACACAGACTGGCAAAATGGATAAAAAGTCAAGACCCATCGGTGTGCTATATTCAGGAGACACATCTCACATGCAAATACTCACACAGACTCAAAATAAAGGGATGGAAGAAGATTTACCAAGCAAATGGAGAGCAAAAAAAAAGCAGGGGTAGTAATCCTAGTCTCTGATAAAACGGTCTTTAAACCAACAAAGTTCAAAAGAGACAAGGGTATTACATAATGGTAAAAGGACCAATGCAACAAGAAGAGCTAACTATCCTAAATATATATGCACCCAATGCAGGAGCACCCAGATACATAAAGCAAGTTCTTAAAAACCTACAAAGTGACTTAGACTCCCACACAATAATAGTGGGAGACTTTAACATTCCACTGACAATATTGGACAGATCAATGAGACAAAGTCAACAAGGATATTCAGGATTTGAATGCAGATCTGGACCAAGCAGACCTAATAGACAGTTACAGGACACTCCACCCCAGATCCACAGGATACACATTCTTCTCAGCACC